TAAGGTATATTTCTTTTTTTTGGAGACAGAGTCTGGCTCTGTCCCCCAGGCTGGAGTGCAGTGGTGCTATCTTGACTTACTGCAACCTCTACCTTCCAGGTTCAAGTAATTCTCATACCTCAGCCTCCCGAGTAGCTGAGATCACAGGCGTGTGCCACCACGCCAGGCTGATTTTTGTATTTTTAGTAGAGATGGAGTTTCGCCATGTTGGCCAGGCTGGTCTCAAACTCCTGACCTCAGGTGATCCACCCGCCTCGGCCTCCCAAAGTGCTGGGATTACAGACATGAGCTACCACGCCTGGCTAAAAGTGTATTTCTTAATTTCCAAACATAATCTTGTGTTGATGTTGTCATTATTGCCTTCTAACTGAATCATATTGTGGTCTGAGAAGTTGGTCTTCATCTGAGTTACACTGTCTGATAGCCACTGGTTACTCATGTCTATTGAGCACTTGAAATTTGGTTAGTCCAAATTGAGATGTACTCTAAGTGTAAAACATACACTGAATTTCAAAGACTAAGAAAAAAAGTAGAATGTAAGAATCTTATTAATAGTTTTTCATATTGATTACATGTTGAAATGATAATATATTGATATGGTGAATTAAATAAAATACAAAATTAATTTCACTGTTTAAAATGTGGCTACATTTTAAAAGTACACATGTGGCTTATGTTTCTGTTGGGCAGGGATGATCTAAAGTCTTTTGAAATCTATTGATAATTTGCTTTTTGGCCCAGGCTTTGCTCAATTTTTATATATGTTACATGTATACTGGAAAAGAACATGTATTCTCTAGTTACTAGGAATAATATTCTGTATATATATATATATATATATATATATATATACAGATTAAGCTTGTTGTTTTCATTATTTTTTATTCCTACTGATTCTTTTGTCAGCTCTATTTATCAATAGTTGGAGAGGCACATGAAATGTTCTTGCTATCGTGGTGGATTTGTCTTTTGCTTACAGTTCTACCATTTTTTGCTTTATATTTTTGAGCTGATGCGTTTCGATACTTATAAATTTAGAGTTGTTACAGCTTCCTGGTAAAACTGCATATCATTGTGTAGTCGAGTCTTTGCCTCTAGTGATTTTTTTGCCTTAAAGTCTGTTTTATCTGACTGTTAATATAGCTATAAAGCTTTATTTTGGTTGGTATTTGCCTGTTCATATATTATTCCATTATGTTATTTTAACCTTTTTACGTCATTATGTTTTAGAAATGGGTCTCATAAAGACTTTATAATTGTATTATCTTTCCTTAAAGATCTGATCATTTTTGTATTTTTCCAAAGTATTACATTAGTTCATTTACATTTGTTATAGTTATTGATTTATTTACGTCTACTCCTACCATTTTATTTTGTGCTTTGTTTTGAGACACAGCCTCATTCTGTTGTCTGGGCTGGAGTTCAGGGGCATGATCATAGCTCACTGCAGCTTTGATCCCCAGCTGACGATTCTCCCACCTTAGCCTCTCAAGCAGCTGGGACTATGGGTACATGTCGCTGGGCCTGGCTCTTTTAAAAACATTTTTAGCAGTGTCGGGATCTGGCTGTGTGGGCCAGGCTGGTCTTGAATTCCTGAGCTCAAGCAATCGTCCTGCCTCAGCCTCCCAAGGTGCTGGGATTATAGGCATGAGCCATCCCGCCCAGCCTGTTTTGTGCTTTGCGTGTGTTTTGCATTTCTTCACTTTCTTTGTTTCATTGCCTCCTTTTGGATTATTTTTTCTTACCCTTTTTATTCCTCTGTGGTTTAGATGTTTCCTATCCTCAGCTTATGTTTTTTTGGTGGTTCTCTTAGAAATTTGAGCACAAATAACTGACTTATCAAAGTATGAAGGTCGTTAGAATCTTTATCTTCCTCCAAAATGACGTAGGGATCTTGGAATGATGTAATTCCAAGCATGTAGATTTTCAATTTCTGTGCTGTAGTTATCCAGTAAATTGGTTCTATATTTTTTTAATCCCCAAATTACACACTGTTATTATAGTTTCATACAATGTTTATTTAGATTTAACAACAGCTTCATCATTTTCTTTGCTTAAAATTCCTCCTTTCATCTCAGCTTTTCTATTTGGGATCATTTTTCCTTCCTTCTGCCTCAGGTTTATCTTTTAGCATTTTGTTTATTGAACAAAACAAAATTATCAAGAAAAACAACTCTGTTGATTTTCTCTATGGTATCTTTATTTCTTCTTTATACTTCAGAAGTATTTTGTCTGGGTCCACAATTGATAGTTATTTTCCTTAAGCACATCGAAATATTATTTTTCTATGTTTTGCTTTTCATTGTTACTATTGAGAAAGTATCTATTAGTCTCATTGCCATTCCTTTATAGATAAAATGCATTTTGGTGAATGGGATCATAGTGTAGTAGTTGAAGGTATGGCCTCTGGAATCAGACTGCCTGGATTTAAATCCCAGCTCTTTGGTTTTCTAGCTGTGTGACACTGAACAAGCTGATTAACCTCCCCATGCCTTTGCATGCCTCAGTTTCCTCTTTTGTAAAATGGGAGAGATAATAGTACCAGTACCTACCTCATAGGATTGCGGTGAGGGTTAAATTAACTGATATGTAAAGCACTCGCCACAAATGTAGCTCATTTTAAGTGCTATTCAAGTGTTAGCTATTATTTTTTTCTTTATGCTTGTAACTATCTCCTTATCATGAGTGTTGATGTATCTAGGTATGAACTTCCTTTTATTTATTCTGTTTGAGATTCACTGAGCTTTTTGAGTCTGTAAATTGCTGTCTTTTATCAATTTTGAGAAAATATTAGCCGTATTTCTTTAAACACTGCTTCTACACATTCTCTTTCCTCTCTTTGTGGAACTTCAGTTAGATTAATTAATCATTTTCTCTCTATCTGTCTTTCTTTTCCCTCCCTCCCTCCCTTCCTTCCCTCTTTTCTTTCCTTTCTTTCTTCCTTTTTCCTTTCCTTTATGCTGAGATGGCATCTTGCTGTGTCACCAAGGCTAGAGTGTAGTGGTGTGATCACAGCTCACTGCAGCCTTGACTTCTCAGGCTCAAACAATTCTGTCGCTTCAGCTCCTGAGCAGTTGGGACTACAGGTGCACAGCACCACGCCTGGCTTTTTTTTTTTTTTTCCCGCTTGTTTATATAGAGACAGGATCTTGCTATGTTTCCCAGGCTGCTCTTGAACTTCTGGCTTCAAGCGATCCTCCTGTCTTGGCCTCCCAAAGTGCTGAGATTACAGGTGTGATATGTCTCTTGGTGCTTCAGTGTCTGCTGTGAAGATTCTGGATAATTTATTTAAATCTATTGTCCAGTTAGCTGATTTGTGTCAGTGACATTTAGTATGCTATTAAACCTATATATTGAGTTTGTAAACTTTAATGAAGATTGTTATATTTTTCATTTCCAGAAGTTGTGTTTGGATCCCAACCAAATCTGCCTGGTTGTTTTTTGTAGGGTTTTTTTTTTTTTTTTTTTGTCCTTCACTCATGCGTTCACCTCTTTCTTTTACTTCTTTAAACGTATGATACATACGTAGTTTGTATTCTGGTCTGATACGTCCAGTGTTGAAAGGCTTCACTTGTCTCATTCTCCTGCCTGTTCTTTTGGAGCCACATAACGCTGGCGTTAGGACCCCTGAGACGGGGGCCAGCCAGAAGGCTTTGAACTGTGAAGGGCTGGTCTTGATATTTTTCCTGCTCCTCTTCTTCCCACACCCCTTTTCTTTGTTTTTCTCCCTCTTTGTCAATTTACTTTTTTTGAAAGGCTGGTCATTTCCATGGTTCAAAAAAAGTGAAACTCATCTTTCTCAGCACCCAGTCGCTTCCCTACTGGCAGCCAGGGTTATATAGGTTCTTGCAGATACTTCCTGTAATATTTTATTCATATTCAAGCAAATACAAATTTAAAAATTCATTCTGGCTGTAACAGGAAGGGTAGCACACTACATGTATTGTTCTGAACTTGTTTTTAATAAAAAAAAGATGTTTCTGGTTACAAAAGAAATACATGCTCATTTTGAATAACATGAATACCCAAGTATCTACAAGTAGAAAGTGAAAGTCTCGCTGGAATTTCATTCTCCAGAGATAACCTCTATTATGTATCTATGAATATATGTTTACATAAATGGGCTTATGCAACTGATACTGTTCTGTAACCTGTTTTTCCTTTTCCTCCCAATAATACTTCATGACATCTTTCCATGTCTCCACATAGCCCCTGAGTTAAGTGCTTGGGTTTTGGAGTCAGACAGAGTGAGGTTCTAATGCTAGCTCTGCAGCTTAGCAGGTATAGGACTTTTCAGACCCTCTCTAAGCCTCAGTTTCCTCATCTGTAAAATGGGGATAGAAATAGTATATACCTCATGGTGTCCTTCTGAGACCTTAAAAGCCTGCATGATGTGCTTCCTGTGGGACCAGCTACTTCATAAGCCCTCAACGAGTGGTCATTTTTATGATGACTTCCTTACCCTTTGTAAGATACATAGAAGTATGAAGTGTCACCATGTACTAACCATTTTCCCTTTGATGGACTTTTTTTTTTTCTTTTGAGATAGAGCCTCCCTCTATCCACCAGGCTGGAGTACAGTGGTGTGATCTCGGCTTATTGCAACCTCCACCTCCTGGGTTCAGGTGATTCTCTTGCCTCAGCCTTCTGAGTAGCTAGGATGATAGGCGCCTGCTACCACTCGGGCTAATTTTTGTATTTTTAGGAGAGACAGGGTTTCACCATGTTGGCCAGGCTGGTCTTGAACTCCTGACCTCAGGTGATCTGCCCACCTTATCCTCCCAAAGTGCTGGGATTACAGGTGTGAGCCGAGCCTGGCCTGATGGACGTTTTCTTGTTAACCATTTTCCCTTCGATAGACAACTTTTTTGCTGTAAGTATAATTCAGTGAACACTGAACACTCACCCTTTCAACAAGAATATCGTCTTTTTGTGAATTCCCCGCCATGGGGTGGCTGGGTCCTCTGGATTCTAATCTCTGCATCCTCTTTCTCTTCAAGGAGGAAGTAAGAATACCCCATGGGGTGAAGCTTGTGTATTACGTAGGTTTTTGCTGTTTGTTACTGCTTTTCTTCCTCCCTTTCCTTAGGTGGGGTGGAGGGGGAGGGTTCCTGCACAGTAGATGTGATCCTACCCCCACTCAGTCTGCCCTCCCCCAGCATCCTAGTGCTCCCCTCCCTCTCTAATGCTGGGTCTTAGGCTTTTCGTTTCCTGCAGACCTTGGTTACTGACCATTTCATGATCATTCATTTAAGGATTAGTTTTCAGACTCACCTACTTTTAAAACAATTCCCTGTGGTTTGCAATAAATTAAAGGAATCAAAACACACTTAAAATGGGCTAAAAGCCTAAAGAAAGCAAAAAAAGAGGAAGGAGAAGGGGGAATACTGTTACAACACTTTACTCTCCACCAATCCTGGAAAGGTACAACTGCTAGGCTCAAAGTTAACACTGAGCTTCCTGGCAGCCATAGCAAAAAGGGGAGCAGGATAGATTCTGTAGTTCATTAGAAGAACAAAATCTACTCTGCACCTTGAAATGGTCATGAAGGGATTTTTTTTTTTTAAATCAGCAATAGAGAAGTGATCAGCAGTTACAAAAGATGATGACTGCATTTGGCTGCTTTAAGGGAGAGGCAGAGAGCAAGTCAGTGACCCTTGAAAGGGGCATGACAGAGATTTGAGCAGGAGGAGGTGGAGTCAGAACAGGGCATGTCCCTCCTGATGAGATGCCTCTACGGTCAGGAGGGCGAGAGGGTCCTGGCACAGAGTCCAGTTAACTCTGAATGTGACTGGGGGTTAAGGGGAGGTTGAGAAGGGATGGGGATGGAGACAGGCTTCTCTCCTGGGACAGAGGCTAGCCAGGTAGCAAACATTCACTGAACGCTATGGGCCAGGCCTTTTCCAGTTATTGGGAATACAGGGGGGCCCAAGACAGGCATGCTGTCTATCCTCACAGAGCTTACAGTCCAGTGGGAGAGAGACATGAACCAATTACAGGTGAGGGGAGTACTCTGAAGGTGGGGACAGCCATTGGCCCCGCTTGCTTCTGAAGTGCCGTCTCCCCCGCAGCTGGATTCCAGGCCAGTGATCCATCTCCTGGGGGCTGTCAGCCATGGCCAGGCAGGGGGGCAGCTGGCACCAAAGCTGGAGGTTCTGGAGGACCTGATGGAGGTCAGCTCGCTCTTACCTGCCAAGAGGCTCAGAAGGAAGAAAAGACCCATGGTGCAGGGCCCTGCTGGGTGCCAGGTACAGAACACGTGACATCATTTAATCCTGCTGAGAGAGGCAGCTTCACACCTGATTCACAGAGATTTCACCAAGGCTCAGAGAGAGGATGCCACTTGCTCGCTATCACACAGAATAGCCAGAGGCAGGGTTAGGCCCCAGTGGGATGGCTGGCCTGCCTCCATGTGGACTTTGTACTGCAGCTCTGAATTCAGGGTGGACTGCAGGAGGAAGAGGCTGGGCCTCCAGTGCATCTGGGGAGGGAACAGTCCCTGGCCTCCATTTCCGGCCGACTAGTTTGTCCTGCTCCCTGCCCCAAGGTTTTCCAGCCTCCTCCTTCAGGAGGCACAGCATGGGACTCTGGTGGCCTCTCTGACCCCTTCCACCCTTGAAGAAGCGGTTCCCTGTCCCTTGGCGACCCCACCTTAGACCCTGCATGTCACCAGGGGAGTGCTTCTGTCCTGGCCATGTGCCTCCTTCGCTGGAGCATGGGTCAGGGAGGATGTGGGAGTGAGGAGGTGACTAGAGGAAGCAGTGTCTCCTGGGCTGGAAGGCCAGGCCCACCAGCACAGCCTCAGTTCATCTCACCTCTGCTACAGAGTGGCCCAATGGAGGCTGAAGAAGAGGAACCTGTGCTGGAGGAGGGGGCGGAGGACTCAGGTGAAGGGCCCTGGAGGGAGGCTCCTCTGCTGCCCCCTGCCTTCCAGACACTGCTGGGGTCTGGGGAGGACTTGGGCCTTGCTCCTGGTTCTAGCCCCTGCTTGGACTCTTCTCTCCCCGCATCCCATCAGCCTGCAGCTCTTCCCCAAAGGGGTTGGGGCTGCTGGCTTGCCTGGGCTTGGCTCTCAGATGGATGGAGAGAGGGGTCTAGGTCTTTGAGGGTGGCGCTCCTCTCCTGTCTGCCTAAGCCCATCAGCCTTGAGTCAGCCCCTCCCCTTTCCCCTGGACACCCCTGGGAGCCTGTGACATTCTCTCCCTACAGCTCAGCTCCAACAGGAGAAGCCATCCCTGTATATCGGGGTGCGGGGCACTGTTGTCCGTTCCATGCAGGAGGTGCTGTGGACTCGGTGAGGCCCTGCTCCCCACTACGCTGACATCCCAAGGGACGCCCTCACATGCCCCGCCTCTGGGGCCCTGCCACGTTCTAAGGGCTTCTGGGTATCTGGCTAACCCCGTTTGGTAGGTGTGCAAGGTCCCTTGGCCACACAAAATGCCATTGGAGGGCTGAAATTTGAAGCTGGGTCTCTGGCTTCAAGGCTGTGTTTCCCCACTCAGCTGTGGCAGCTCTCAGCCTCGGCTCAGGTCCAGCCATGTCAATGTCACCTGCAGCAGATGCTTTCAGATGATGAGAGCCTATGCTGGGAGCAGCTCAGAGACCTGAGCCCAGAGCTCTCATTTGCTGATGGGGAGACCAAGGCCCAAAGGGGGTCAGACTTTGCAAAAGCCACACAGCGAGTCAATGACAGATGACACCCAGGGCCAGGGCTCCATTCCCTCCCCTGACTCAGGCCTTACTCTGACCTGACCTGGGCTTCCTACCCTCCACACACATCCCACACATCCCATGGGCCAGAGACGGAGCACCGGCTGACGAATCAGACTGTCAGGTTTCCAGTATTGCTTTTGCCACTAATTACACGGCTGTGAGTAAGCCCTTATTTTCTCTGAGCCCTCGTAACCCCATCTGTAAATGGAGAATGATCCTATTTCCTCCTCACAGAATTGGGGTGAGAATAACTAGGTTCCTACAGGGAAACACCCACAACAGGAACAAGTTGTCCCAGACCCTGCTGCCCACCCATCTGCCTCCCTCTGAGACCAAGTGCCTGGCGAGCCTCCCGGGCTCATGGCCATGCCCTGCCCTGGCCTCCACAGCCTTCGGGAGCTCCCAGACCTGGTGCTGAGTGAGGAGGTGGTGGAGGGCATCGCTGCTGGCATTGAGGCAGCCCTCTGGGACCTGACGCAAGGCACCAACGGCCGCTACAAGACCAAGTACCGCAGCCTGCTGTTCAACCTGCGGGACCCCAGGAACCTGGTAAGCAGGGTTTTGGGCTGGGCCGGGTCCCCTGTCTGAGGCTCATAGCCCCTGCAGGATGTGAGGTGGGGGGCTGTTTCAGCCATGTGCTGCAGCCCTGCCCCCTGCCCCCACAGGACCTGTTTCTCAAAGTGGTTCATGGAGATGTCAACCCCTATGACCTGGTGCGGATGAGCTCGAGGCAGCTGGCCCCCCAGGAGCTGGCCCGCTGGCGGGACCAGGAGGAGAAACGGGTGAGTGCTGAGCTCAGTCAGGACGGTAAGGGGATGTAGGAACAGAGAGGGTGGCCTGAGGGTGGAGGAGGGAGAGACAGAGACAGGAAGAGAGGGAGGAGGAACTCAGAAAGACAGAAACAAGGAAACAGAAGGCAGACGGGGAGTCAGAGAGATCCTTCCCACAACAGGAGAAGGGGTGGAAATGAAAGGGACTGGGGAAGCTTGGTAGAGACGTGATGCCCTTGGCCCTGTGTGCTTGGGTCTGTCCCTGCCTGGGAACTGCTTGGGGACTGGGAAGCTGTGGCACTGAGCAGGCTTTAGAGAATGCTTACCTCATGCTTGTTGGTGGTCCAGTGAGAGAAAAAGGGACTGATTTAGGGGCTGAGGCCACTGGGATGGGGCAAGGCCCTCTAGCCCCTGCTGTGGAAGACACTGAGCTGATTAGAAGGAATAACCAGAGTCCATCAGGTGAATCCATCCCTATAGGCTGAGCTTCCGTCCGGGCTCTGTGGGGCCCAGGATCAGGACTGGCTTTATAATTTTCAGGAGCCAGTGCAGAATGAAAATTAGGGGCCCTCTGTTCAACTGCTAAGAATTGCACGGTGACGACAACAGACCACTAAGCCATGCAGGGGCCTCCTAAGCGCAGGGCCCTGTGCAGTTGCACAGATCTCATGCCTGCAAGGCTGAGCCCACGAGAGGAGGGAACCCACTGTCCTCCTGGGGTTGTTAGGGAAGGAGACACAGGCTTTCAGGGAGGATTGCAGATAGAGTGACATTGATCGACAGTAAGATTTACAACTAGCATTTGCTATGAGCCATGTTCCAGGCTAAGCACTCTCTATATGTTGTTTAATATAGTGCTTTTCACTAAATTCCTACAAACAGATAAACTGAGGTTTAGAGCCCTAAGTGCTTGCCCCAGGCCATACCACCTTATGAATCTTTATTAATGGCCCAGTGGGGACTTCAAAGCCTGCACTGTTACAGCCATACCATACCCTTCCCAGAAGAGGATGAGGTACAGTCAGAGGTTGAACTGACCTGTGGGTGAAAGTGGAATCGAGGAAGGCTTCCTGGAGGAGGCAGGATTTGAAGGGTGAATCAGTGGAATATGGAGAGGTAGCACTAAGGGTGGAGGGCTTCCCAGGGGAGGGGTATGGTAGAAGTAAAAGTGTTGAGGAGAGGGGAATCACAAGAGAGGGCCTCAAGGGAGGTAAGTGAGCACTTGGGCTTTTGATAGCCAGAGGCCCCCTAAGTGGGCTCAGCTTAGGCTGCTCCTCCTCTTCAGGGCCTGGATATCATTGAGCAGCAACAGAAGGAGCCGTGCAGACTTCCAGCCTCCAAAATGACCCACAAAGGTGAAGTGGAGATCCAGCGGGACATGGACCAGACACTGACCCTGGAGGATTTGGTGGTAAGCTGGAGCCTGACCTGGTGCTGGGCAGAGCCCATGCCTGGGAGTCCCGCACCTCGCCTCACCAGTGGTGTGGCCTTGGGCATGTCACCTGACTGCTCTGAGGCCCGACTTATTTGTGATAAAATGGGGACAGTGATCCTTAACGCACAGGGGAGCATGGGAAGAGACAGTGCTGCTGGCACAGGCCTGCCAGCGCCTTGTCACTGTTGGTCCCCCTCCTTTTGGCCTCAACCCAAGGCCCTCACATGAGTGGCATTAAGTCCCATCATCATAGTCATCCCCAATCTCAGGCCTTCTGCCAAGATCTCTGCTGGGAAGCAGCAGGCTGCACTGTTCCAGGCAGTGACTTTTTCAGATGGAAGGAATGAAGACCCACTATATTCAGTGGATTGATTTGGGGATGCTCCAGGCAGGTCCAGAGGGCCTCCTGGAACTTGTCCTCAGACCTGGAAAGCCCACAGGAGTGACAAAAGCCAACGGGAGTGACAAGAATCTAGGGCTCTTGCCACTGAGGATCTGCTCCATCCCCATATCCATCCTGCTTCTTCCTCCCCCTTGGCCGAGGCTTGCACAGAACCTGACGTGGCAGCTCGGCAGTCCCGGAATCCATGAAGCCTTCACCTCAGACTCCTGCAGTCCACCAGAACTTCCCCTGACTCCCTTTGGTCACTCTTAGAAGGCCACTCTGGCTGTGGTCGAGTGTTCTGTGGGCCAGATGTTCACCTGGGTCTTATCAGCTTGTGTCCAGGAGAGGGGTGTGGGGCAGGTCTCTTTAACCATACTCAGTCAGTACATTTATGGGGCACCTACCAGGTGCCAGGCATGGTTCTAGGCACTGGGGAAATGACAGTGAACAGACAGAAATCTCTGCTCCCCACTCCTACCACCAATGACTGGGAGAACTTCTGCCTGTGCCAGGAGGAGCCCCAAGGGGGTGTGGCTGCTCCCTAATCAAAATCAATTTGTAGTGTGGGCTCGGTGACTCATGCCTGTAATCCCAGCACTTTGGGAGGCCGAGATGGGCAGATCACGAGGTCAGGAGTTTGAGACCAGCCTGACAAACATGGTGAAACCCTGTCTCTACTAAAAATACAAAAATTAGCTGGGCCTGATGGTGCTCACCTGTAGTCCCAGCTACTTGGGAGGCTGAGGCAGGAGAATCGCTTGAACCCGAGAGGCAGAGATTGCAGTGAGCCGACATGCACCACTGCACCCCAGCCTGGGCAACAGAGCGAGACTCTGTCTTAGAAAATAAATAAATGAATAAATAAAATCAATTTGTATTCCCTGAACAAACTGAATGGCAATGTAGGAGAAAGACCTAGATAGCGCCAGAGAGGTAGAGACAGAGGAGGAGGTGGGGAGGGGAGGGGAAAATAACACATGATAACAGTCTTTACTGTTTATTGAACACTTACTATGTGCCCCTTTTACAAGCAGTGTGTCATTCACATCTCACAGTGGCCTAGGAGGTTGGTGCTATTCCCTGCCCGTTTCTGAGATGAACCTGACACCATTTACCCAAGGCCACACAATGTGCAGTGGGAGCTGAGAATTGAACCCAGGCTGCCTGACTCCAAAGTCTGTGCTTTGAGACTGTTCTGGAGGTGGCTGATAAGAGCAGAGTTTCAAAATCTTCTTAAACCTTCCTAAAGCAATGATTGTTTTATGTTTAAAGCTATTTCTAGTATGAGGAAAAAAAGTGATTTGGCAATAGACGTCAAGAGTCTTTAAAATGTTCCTTCTCCCTGATTCTGTCATCTGCTTCTGAAATCTTGTCCTAAGGACATAATTTAAAGTTTAGGAAACTACTTTCTGCACAAAGATGTCCTCAGTGCTATTTTATAATAGTGAAAACCTGGAAATAACCCAAATATATAGCAACAGAGGAGATACGTCCACTCTAGTCCACCCCGTCACAGCAGCGGCTACAGGGACTATGTGACGTGACAAATGCCTGTGCTACTATTATTGGACAGAAAGAGATCACTAAGTTGAATATGTGATCCCAGCTGTTTTAGGAAAAGGACCCCCAAACCCTGTGTCTAGAAAAAGATTATAAAAGAATACCCAGAAAAGCAACAGTGGTTTCTGAGTGGTGGGACAAGAAGCAATTTTCTTTTCAATTTTCAAGTTTTGGTGTTTTCCAAATTTCCTTTGTGAGTTCACAAAAACAAACAACATTTATTATTGAGAAAAAATTAACCACGTCCTGGGGCCCCCAACCCATTGTGGGCTCCTGGCATCCCCAGCCACCTTCTCAGCCTGCCCCTCTGTCTTCTGCCTCCTAGGGACCGCAGGTGTCCAGGGACTGCAGCCCACAGGCCCCGCCCATCGCATCAGAGGACACCACGGGGCAGCATGAGCACCACTTCCTAGACCCTGACTGCTGCATCTGCATGGGTGGGAGGGGACCCAGGAGGGGTGCAGGGGTGGTGGGCAGGCTGGGGCTGAGTGTGCAATTCAGCTGCAACAGGGATTTGTGGCCCGGGGACAGGGTGGCAGAGTGGGGGTGCCTGTGCCCCAGGTCACCTAGAAAAGAACCTGGTTCAACTCTGGCTCTAAAGCCCTGGGCTGGCTTCAGCCCCGCTGCTGCCCCTGTTTCAGCTTCTGCCTCTGCTGTTTGCAGACTGGAAGCCTTCAAGTGAGCTGCTGGGCTCCTTCAAAGCCACCAAGAGGCTTGGGGACTTCCAGAAAGTCCTAAGCCAAACTCCTGTGCCTGCTCCAGAGATGCCCAAAGCCAGGGAGATGCCTCCCACAGAACCACAGGACAGGTGTGGGGCTGGGAGTAGGGAGGTGTTAGCCCAGCAGGGTTAAGGGGAGGCTACCAGCTGGGGCAACAGACGGAGCACTGGCTTTTCTTTCTGTGTGGCCCTGGCAAGTCTTCCCTCCCTTGGGAGCCTCCCTTTCCCCATCTGTGCAATGGAACTTGGTACCCCAGCCTCCTGGTTGCATCCTGCACAAGGTCAAGCTTGGGCCAATGTTCTGGTTCCCACAGTGGGGATTCAAGACTTGCTCTGAAAAGAAAGGAGTGGCCGGAGAAGTCCTGATGGCTCCATCTCTGTCCCTCCCTCTAGGGTCCCTCCATCTGGGCCCCAGGTATCTTCTGTGCCCACAGAGGCCCTGCCCTGTCTGCTGCTCTGGGAAGGTGTTCTGGACATGTTCTCCATCAAGCGGTTCCGGGCCAGGGCCCAGCTGGTCTCGGGACACAGCTGTCGGCTCGTCCAGGTGCACCTGCCCTCCTTGCCGAGGACTCCCTCATGCACTGACCATCCCAGGCACCCACCCACCTCCCTCCTTCCCTCCTTTCCTTCTTCCCTCCCTCTCTCTTTTTCTTTCTTTTCTCCCATTCTAAAACAAGTCATTGGCACCCCTCTCTGTGCCTGGCCCTATGTGAGGCATGGGGGCAAATGAGATGTTGGCCCCATTCCTACAGAGACACACAGGGTGAAGGACTCCCTGTCACACATAACAAGAAGGGCCCACAGGAGGGTTTTAGGAGTGATCGTTGAGTGACTGAATGATCAGCTAAAGTGTTGGATGAGGGCAGAGGACAGAGGAGGGAGGGGCTTTGGAGAAGTTGTAGTTTAGCCAGGACAGGCTACAGGCCTCCATGGGGTAATTAGAGATTTCTGGGCAGCCACCGAGTGTCCTGGAATATGGCCTACCCATCTTTGCCACAGGCTGAAGCCTTCCAGGTGGCTGGGAATGCGTCCACCCCGAGTGGGTGGGAAGCTGGGAGTCTGACTGGCCGTTCCTCCTGTCCCCAGACTCTGCCCACTGTGATCCACTCAGCAGGCTGCATCTCTCCCAACACTGTCTGGGACCTTCTGGCCAGCATCTGCCCAGCCAAGGCCAAGGTAACTGCCCACTCTTGGGAACCCCCTCTTCTCCTAGCACCTTACTCCCACCCCTGGACACCCTCCCTCTCCACCTCTGGAGCAGAGGCCTGGCTTGGGATACCCAGGTCTAGTTCCCAGAGTGACTGCAGACTCACTGTGTGAACCTGGGCAGGTCCCTCTGTTTCCTCCTCTGGAAGATGGGGACACACTTCCTCACGGGGTTCTCAGGGGTTTCAGGGAGCCCAGGGGTGCTGGCAGGAGCAGAGGAAGACTAAGCTTGTAGCTGCTCCCCTCCTTCCACTGCAGGATGTCTGCGTGATCAGACTGTGCCCACACGGGGTTCAGGACACCCAGAACTGCCGCCTGCTCTATTCATACCTCAACGACAGGCAGCGCCACTGCCTGGCCTCTGTGGAGCACATGGGGATGATTCTGCTGCCCCTGCCTGCCTTCCAGCCCCTGCCCACCAGGCTGCGCCCTCTCGGGGGCCCAGGTGAGTGCCCAAGGCCCATAGCAGACCCTGCCTCTGCTCACTTGGTCACCAGACCAGGCATGGTTGGACACAGTCACCAGCAGAGGCAGGCGCATCCCAGAAGGGAACTCCTTACCCAGCCAGGCAGATGTGAGAACAGGGACAGCAATAGCTCACGCTTGTGTTGTGAACTGCGTGCCAGCCATTGTCCTAAAAGCTTTACCTGGATGAATTCTTGTAGTCTCAAAATCACCCTATCAGAATGGTACTATTAGACTAGACTCTCATCGATGACGAAACTGAGGTAAGAAGGCAAGTGACTTGCAAAGTCGCACAGCCAGTCAATAGCAGAGCTGGGCTTCACAGCCAGGCAGCGTGGCTTCAGAAACCCAGCCCCTCAGCACACCACACTGCCTCTCAAGGTAGGCACCTCCCAAAGAGAAACTCCTGGGACAGCCACATGTGACCCAGGCAGCAGGACAGAGACAGGGCCTACACACGCTTGACTGCAAATGTCACCTAAGAGAGGAGGGAGGGATGTTTCACTACAGCTCTCGGGGGGGGCCAGGCTCGGCCTCTGTACCTGGACACCCTGCACAGTGCAGCTCAGGACAGCAGCGAGGGCGGCGGTGGGGGCCCTATCCACTCCTGAGCAAAGCGCTTGTCCTTTCCCGGCTGTATGTCCTGAGACAATGAGGTAGACCCTGGGTCCGGAGAGTCTTCAGGTCAAACCGTCCATACCCCAGCCTCAGCCAGAGGACCCTTGATCCTGCAGAGCTCAAATCTTCCAAGATGGCCCTACCTTCCCACTTTTTCTTCCTAGCATCTCATGGGCCTCATCTTACTTCGGAGAGGCCCTTCCTGGGATCTAGCCTCCAGATCTGCTGCAGCTAAGCTGAACATAGTTCTCCCCCACAGGACTTGGGGCTCTTCCTGTCTCTCCTCTTCCATCCCCAGGTCTGGAAGTCACTCACTCAAGTCTGTTGCTGGCTGTGCTGCTCCCCAAGGAAGGGCTTCCGGACAAAGCAGCGTCCAGCCGCTGGGTGGGGAACGTTCAAAAGATGGTCTCCTTCAACAGTAAGGTAGAGAAGAGATACTACCAGCAGGACGACAGGAGGCCGAGTATGCCCCTGAAGGGCACCCCTCCCCCAGGAGGCACCTGGCAGCAGAGCCACGGCAGAGGCAGTATAGCTGCAAGGGGAATCTGTGCTTGGCAGAGGGCCCCCAGAGGCAGGGGGAGGCTCTGGCCAAAGCCTGAAATTTGGCAGGGTCCTGGGGGAGGGCAGTGGCCCCCAGAACCAGCCTTGCGCCAGTCCTGGCATCCCTATTCAGCAGCACCAGCTGGCTATGGCCAGCACCTCCACAGGGACTCCTGTCTCCACAAAGCCCTGCTCCGGCACCTGGAATCCCTGGTGACCATGAGTCAACAGCTCCAAGCCTTACTGTGCTCCCCAGACCAAGAGCTCCTTCCCTCACCCTCTGTAGCATCTGTCCAGCCCCCTGCAGCTCCAGAGCTCCCTGGCCCAGCCCCTGACTCCTCTTTGGGGCTTACAGATGAAGCTGATTCTGAGTGTCCCCTCCCTAGAAAGGCCTGACCCTCCTTACCCACCAGAACACTAGGGTTGAAGCCTGTTCCAGAGAGATACTGGGCTGCAAGGAGAGGAGGGTCCTGTTTGAGCTTCCTGTTTGACAATGTTTCCTGTTGATATTTCGTTCAATAAAGAATTAGGCAAAATTGGGATTGCATCTACTGGCTGGTCAGGAGAGCCCCTGGTCCTGGTCCCATGTGGGTTGGGTGGGTGTGTCAGTGGGTGTCTTGTGCACAGATTTGTAGCCTTACTCATTGCTGGGCTGAGGTCCTGAATTATCTCTGTGCCCCAGGGCACAGTTATTGCCATGGCGGCTTCTGGAAGCATTTTGCAAGTATTCTGAACTAGGAGGAAGAGGAGGTGGTGGGAAAGAAGGCAGGACCGAGGTTGGGGGTGGAGAGAGAAATGGACAGAGCCTTTTGGAGGGTCACAGACATCAACAGATTGCTAGAGAGGAAAAGAAGAGCAAGTTGCAGTGGTTTTTACATTTTTCGGTTACTATTAAGATTTTTTTCCTTTGACTAGATGGGGAAGGGTAGTACATACCTCCACCATGTCCCCTCTGTGTCTCTGTGTCTGTGTGCTTCTGGGGGATCTCTGTGCATGTGTGTGCTGAGTATCTGTGAGTCTCATGGCCTGCCTGTGGATAGGTCTCTGTTGAGGAAGTTGGGAGATCCAGATTGGGTGACTCCTCTATCTCTTGCCAGATCGCAGAGACTGGTGTCAGAAAAAGTCGAGGATCTTGGCCTTGGTGGTGGGCATTCAGGGTGGGGTTGGGGACTGGTATTAAGGTTGGATGGTACTACCCCGCCTTGGGCCTAGAATAAGCTTCTAACAGCAGCTGTAACTGTCAAGCGTCTCAGGTAGGGTGTACCTCGAGAGAACTGAGTCTGCGGACTGATGGGGAACCAGCTGCCAGGGCCAACCAACACAGCGTGGGGAAAGGGGCCTGGCTTCCAGGAGAGAAACTCTTTAGAACCCCACCCTTCGCCCCGTAGTGAGAAGGGCCCTACGCCCTCCCTGCCCACCCCTTCGCGAAGTCCACCCATGTACAGGCCTCGCCCTAGACCCTCCTGGACTGGGAAGGGTGGGGCGATGGTCGGTTGGGAGAGCCCCTTTGCCCCATGAGCTTTGCGGCTGCCCTACCCGCGGACGACAGCAGAGGGGGCCCTCGGCCTTGGGATGGAGGTCGGGGCTGGCAGGACCGGAGTCAAGGCGGCGGGGGGCGGGGGTGGTGCGAGGTGCAGGAACTTAGCGGAAGGAGTTGGAAGCGGGGGCGGGGTGGGATGCGGGTGGAATGCAGGTGGGGTGCGGGTGAGAGGTTAGGAGAGGGAGCTGGACAGTTGAACCCGGGGAGGGAGCGGGGCTCCTTCGGGAACTTTTCCGGCTCGGAATGGCTTGGGAGCGCCGCAGCCTCCGCGCTATATGCAAATGATGCAAATTACTATGCAAACCTACAGCTCGGTTCTGAGCCCACAGTTTGGGTGGTTTTCCTAATGCAGTTGGTGCAGAGGGAGACGGCTGTGCACCCCCTCCCCTCCAGGCCCAGGGCTTCCTCCGGAGAGACGCCAGAGCTGCTCTGCCGAAGCACTCAGGGAAGAGCTTTGTACTCTGGGCAGGGATTTCTTTTGGGAGCTTCAGTTTTCCCCTCTGTAAATGGGGCTCGCCCTCAGGAGGGCAGATGAGCCCCGAAATCCTGCTGACCCCCCCTAAACATAATACCCTTCCCCACCCCTGCCACCTTTTGGCCCCAGTCCAAGAGACCCTAGCCTCTCTCTCGGCAGAGGCCAAAAACAAGCATTAGGCATGACGTTGCTAGGGGGCGTGGCTGGCTGTTGCTAGGTTCCAGGGACGTTGCTATGCAACGCTGGGCGGGGCTCGTTGTTGCTAGGCCGGAGCTGGAATCGCCTGGGACCCGAAGAAACAGGTCGCGCCTTGGGTTTTAGTGGAAGGCGCCCCAGGCTACCAGAGATCGCGACGCTACTCTCCCGGTGACTTTCTTCCGGCCTGAGCTTCCACCGGCTGGACGCAGTTTCTAAGGGTCCTTCCGGTCACACCCTCTGCAACTCCGTGATCCTCTTGGCTGAAGAGTGAAGAACCCTGCGTCTTTGTGCACGTGTCTGTGCGCCTGCCTGTGGGGGGTGGGGTGCGGAGCGGATATCGCTTTTGGATTTCCATAGCAACCGCTCCTGTGTCACCCCATTACTCCCAAAGGTTTGAGCGGTTGCGTGTGCAAATTTACATATATCTGCATGTCATTAGCATAGAGGCGGGGCCGGAACTTGTTTGGGCAACTATCCCTGGACGGTTCCCTTTGCTTCCTCCTCATCCCTTCTGATGGGCACGTGGGCTGCGCATGCGTGAGTGTTTTGCCTGTCCGTGTTCTCAGATGTGGGGTAGATGAGTGAGCTGTGATAGTGACCACCGGTTCCCTTTCCCCACGTCCCCTTATTGAACCATTAGCTTGAATCCATCCAGGTATCTCTGACTGAAGACACCCAGCTTCCCAAGCAATGCCAGGCCTTGCTGGCACCCCAATTCTGCCCTTTTCTGGCTGTGTGGCCTTGGACAAGTTTAGTTACCCTTTCTGTGGCTCAGTTTCCTTCTCTGTAAACAGGGATATTAATCCCTAACTTACTAGGTTACGGGAGGGTTAAACAGGATGCCACTTGTACACACACTAATTGCTGCTTTCTGGCATAAAGTGGGCACTTGGTGGTACTACCTTCCTCCCTCTCTCAAGCCCATCCCTTCTTAGAATCCAACCAAAGCAAATCAACTTCCTTTGCTGCTTAAGACATGGCAACTGGACACTAGGAAGAACTCCCGGATGTCAAGGCAGACTGGATTTGATGCACAACGTGAGGACTATTGGTTTGCCTGTTTGTCCTTCTTGGAAGCTGGAGGTCAGGTTGGTGAGCATGGACTCTCCTATCGCCACTCCCTGACATCCTTGTCTCTCTCAGGGAGCCCACAACTCAACTTGCTTTCCTATCCCAAAGGCCGGGAGCCTGAGGCGGCTGCAGCAGTGAGAGCTGAGCCTGGGAGGCCCGAAGACCAGGGCTGAGCAGGTGGTGGCTGAGGAAGTATCTTCCAGGACTGAGATGTCTGGGATGGAGCAAGACTAGGGGTGGAAGGAGACTGAGAGCAGAATCTGCCTGGAGTGCCTTTACCAGAGAGGACTGGAGAACCCTGGGCCACTGCCTTGCCCTTTCTGAGCCTCAGTTTCCCTGTTGTGGACAGTAGGGACTCCTCTGCTGCCACTTGGGTTGGGGGTAAGAAGTCAGCTCAGTATGGAGAACCCTCTCATTGCTGCAGTTGTGTAACAGTGCCATGGAGGGAGTTCCCTGTTCTTTGCGTGGTGCAAGCAGAAGCCAAGAGGGACCCCTTCAGTGTGCTGGATAGGAGCAGCAGAATTCCTGGAAGCTCTTGTTCATTTAGAAACTGGGGTTGGCTTCTATCCTGGGTGCAGGAAGATTGTTGGTGATGGTCAGGGGTATAGGAGCTGGGTTCCCAGGGGTTGAGTGGCTTCCTGGAGGAGGTAGGACTGCATGGGGGCCATAGTCTGCCGTTGTCACTCTGACTGCTATATGCAAGACTGCTGTCTGCTGGTGGATGGCGGTGGGCCAGCCACCTGTGCTCCACAGGTGAGGGTTCCAGGGACAGGCTGTGAGCCTAGCAGTGCCCGGCTGGCCTGCCTGTGTCCCACTTTGGGGGCCAATTAAGTTTCCATCCCTAGCCAAGCCGATTAACAGCTAATAAGGCAGCAAACACCTGCAGCTATGGAGGCGAATTAAGAGCAACAGTCGGCATAATACACAACCCGATAAGTGAGCAATTAACAACCGGAGAAAGATTAATAGAAGCAATTACGTCCTACTCGGAGCTCTGTAAATACAACTGTCAACAGCCATCGTATTCAGTTCAGTCCTGCCTGGCCCCACCCCAGGCCACAGCCTCTGTTGGCAGGGCAGGGGTGTCTACTGAGCCAGACTGTGGATCCTGGACCGCAGATTCATGACAGATACGCAAATGCACACAGAGATATACACATACAGTCATATTCAGAGAGGTAGCCCACAGAATGCAGTCACACAGATATAAAAGTTCCCCACTGTCTCGTATACTCACATCCACACAGACAGTACACATACACACACACACATAGGGCCTTCCAGAAGCATACACAGAGATACACAGAAAAATGCCCACAGTGTCACAAAGAGACACTTTCACAGAGCTAGAGCCACAGTGACACTCACATATACAAACTTAGACCTGTAGACACACATAGCTTTCTACTCACAGGGTCACATAGGCATACATCCCTCCTGTGGTGACCTTCAGAGGGTTGTTCACAGTGGGTGAGGGCAGCAGCAGGGTATTGGACCAAGAGAGAACTGGAGTGAGTGTGGGAGGGGACAGGGGGGAGCAGAATGTGTGTGAAAACATGCAAGCGTGTCTGCATGCGTGTGACTCCTTGTAGAATGTGTAGAACATGCATGTGCTATACATGTGTGTGGCTGCCTGAGGTGAGTGTCTGTCATGACGCATGGGTATATGTACATGTGCTGTGCCCAGCAGATCTGTGACTACACACGTGGGTATCTGGATCACGTGTGATCATGCTGTGCCAGTGTCCATGTCTGGGTAATTGTGTGCCTGTACTTTCGAGTGGCTTTACATGTATGTGTCTTGTCTCTGTGCTGGGGCCAGGGAGGGATGCTTCCCTGGGAAGCCTGGGATGGTGTCTGAAAGCAGCTTCGTTCCCCCCACCCCCCACCCCCCACCACCGGATTGGGGCTCGAGGACAGGCAGGGATGCTCTCAGGCTGACTTGGCTTCCCTCACAGGGACTTCTAGCCCCTTTCAAGAAATTGACATGGAGGTTAATTTCTCCTGCTTGAAAGCTGAGGCAGGAATTCACTGTGCACCTTCCTCTTAAAGCCACAGCTCCAGTCCCCACTGGGCTCAAGCCCTCCCCATCCTTATCTCCACCCTGAGCTTCCCTTAGAAAACCCCTGACCTGAGACGCATGCCCTTTGCTCACATTCTGGGACATACACTGTCATGCACAGGGGATAGATGCAGACACACAAACATGGCCGGTCACAAATATGAATACATCAAATGCTGCTTACTGTCACATCCCGACCTAGCCACCACGCACAGGCTGGCCACACACATAAAGTCCTACAAAGCAGCACCCCCACATGCCCACTAGCTCATTAGTCTCTGAGATGAGCCAAGTGCCAAGTCAGAGAGCCCAAAGGGGCATCCTGCGACAGGTCCCTCCACCTACCCCAGCCTGGCCAGATGGTGGAGGCTGACAGGCCCCAAGGGAGCTCTCCATCACCGCTAACCCTCTGGCTGACAGGCAGGCACTGAGGCCTGACTCTGCCAGAAGCAGGCTGGGGTGTAAGTAAGGAGGTAGTGAGGCTCATCAGCCTCTCCCCTCAGCCCCCGCTGCCCCAGACCAGGATGGAGCCTGTCCCACGGTCTCTCATTCACACTCAGACATCTATAGGACCAGAAGGACCTGGATGCATGTGGGCATTCTCCCTCTAACAGCCGCAGGCACAGGGGCCCCTTCTGTAGGGTGAGCCACGCACCAGGCCAGAGCTGACCTTGGTGAGAGCCCGCCTCCCCTCTCTGACTCCCACCATCTAATCAAAACAGGCAGAAAACGATGATGTGCAGGGACATGGATGTGAGGGCCCCAAAGCCAAAACAGGTGCCTGTCAGTCTGTTCTTCTATCAGTCCATCCAGCCTTGTTTCACTTTTATTCACTCAGTCCTTGTTTTTCATTTATTCACTTGTTTATTCAGTCATTTAGCCAATAAAGACTTGAAACAAATCATGACATTCAGTCCAATGACCTGGCTGCCCTCCTAGCATGAAGGCCTGGGGGTGCAGGAGCTGGGAAAGGGGGCCTGGGCTGTGAGGGAGGAGGAAGAGGAAGTGGAGGGGATCCCCTTCCCCTGCTTCTTGCTCAGTCTCTCAAATGAAAGAGAAGGGACTTCTGCAGCTGGAGAGAAAAAAACGCCAAATTCTAAGATAATAGATAATAATAGCTCACGCTTACGCATTGGTACTCTGTGCCAGGCACTGTTCAAAGTGCTTTACATGAATTAACTCAGTTCATCCTCATAACAACTCCAAGAGGCAAGTACTATTATTAACCCTACTGGGGGGGGCACAGTAACTTGTCCAAGGTCAAATAGCTTGTCAGAGCCACCCCAAGTGTTTAAAGAACCTAGGGCAACAACACAAAAGGAGGTCCCCAGCCCTCCACCCACCCCCTTCTCATCCTACCTCGGGCTCCATCCTGCAGTATAAGGGCCCAGTCCCTGCTTGGTCCACACGCCTGGCAAACAGCCACCCTTTGGGCTTGAGGAGGAAGGATGCTCATGGGAAAGTGGCTCCATAGACCCTAGTAGTTGGCTTAGGCCTGCCTGGGGAGGGGATTCCAGGGTCGTGGGTTAGAATATAGTCTAGAAGGGGACTAGAGCTCCAGGTGGACCCATGGATCTTGGACTTCCTCGCCCCATGCAGAAGAGGGCCAAAGGGGGTCATCTAAAGTGGGACCCCAGGACATGGACCCTGTTTGCCCAGGTCTGAGAGTCCTGGGGACAGTGAGTAGCAGGTCCCAGATTTGATCCCAGTCATTCCTGCCAGAGAGTCTCTCCTGAGACTGGTGGTGGCTGAGGGTGTGGGGAGGAAAGAGGTTGCTGAGTTTCACTTCCTCATCCCGACTCTGACCTTACCAAGTTGAGGCCATTTCCACCGATGGGTGCACACCAGCTCCATTCTGCGTGCCCGGGACTCTTAAGGATGACTCAATTTTTTTCCCTTATTGTAAATTGACCAATTATAGTTGTATTTATTTATGGGGTACAAAGTGGTGTTATGATTTTTTAATACACTGTGGAATGATTAAATTAAGCTAATCAGCATATCTAGCTCCTCAAATATTTAACATTTTTTTTGTGATGAGAACATTAGAAATGTACTCTCTTGGCCGGGCGCGGTGGCTCACGCCTGTAATCCCGGCACTTTGGGAGGCCGAGGCGGGTGGATCATGAGGTCAAGAGGATCGAGACCATCCTGGTCAACATGGTGAAACCCCGTCTCTACTAAAAATACAAAACATTCGCTGGGCACGGTGGCATGTGCCTGTAATCCCAGCTACTCAGGTGGCTGAGGCAGGAGAATTGCCTGAACCCAGGAGGTGGAGGTTGCAGTGAGCCAAGATCGCGCCATTGCACTCCAGCCTGGGTAACAAGCGCAAAACTCTGTCTCAAAAAAAAAAAAAAAAAGAAGAAAAGAAATGTACTCTCTTAGCGATATTGGAATGAGTCCTCATCTTGTCACCCCTCCCTCTCTGTTTCTGCCAGTGTCCCTACCCATTCTGCACCAGGGATGGGGAAGAAGTGGAGGCTCCTGGGATTGGACAGGGACCTTCCGAGTCAACACCATGAGTCAAAACCACCGGTTTCTGTCTCTGCTTCCCCAGGATTCCTGCTGGGCCTCCAGAGGCTTTTCCACACAATTACCCAGGCCAGGAATTTCGATCTCTAGTGCCAGCCAGGCCCTTGTTATGCAAATATAGGAAAATGAGATGCAAACAGAGCCGTCGCAGATTAAGAGAGAAATCCCTGGCAGCTGGAGGAGTCACCTTAAAGTCAGTTCACCCCAGCTTCCCCAGTACCCCTCTCCTGGGCTCTGTCTGGCTGGGCCTGCCTGATCCCTCCCCTTCCTGGTCACCACCTTTCTACCCCCTCAGAAGCCTGCTCAGACACAGGAAGGGGCTGGACAAGGGGGGCCACAAAGGCCCACTCAGCTTGAGATCTCCGCTCCCTCCCCTCACCTTAGAGAAATCCTGGCAGGGGTGGAAGTTAGTGGGGAGTGGTGAGTGCAGCTGAGACAGAAGGAGACCTCTATTTTGCCCTGTAGAAGAGGAAATTCACACACATACACCCCACCCACCCACCCCCACGCACACACTCTCACACAGTTGAGAGTGAGAGCAGCCCCTGCAATACACACATATGCACTCATGCTGACAATGACACACAAGCCTCGAAACACCGCCCTACAGGCCTGGCCAAGCCCCTCTTTCCCTGATACCATCAATCAAAGACACTCAGAGGCTGCTGTGCAGAGGGCAAGCAGGCTGTGTCTCCGGCCTGGGGCCTGGTGGGTGGTGTGTGCTGCTGGTAGGCCCCTGGCTGTCTTTGAACAGAGGGAATGCAAGATCTCACCTGGGGCATGACCCCCTGGGAAGGGGGCTGGAAGTGCTTGGAAGAAGCAGAAGCATGGTAGCTGCCCACTAGGGCCCCTGAGGGTGTCTATGCCCTGGGTATATGGGGCGGGGGGGGGGCTTGGCCCCTGGCCCCTGGCCGGCCCAACCAGCCCAGGCCTAACTTCTAAAAATAAGAACTGAGAATCTAAGCCTCTGGTTGGTTCTGCAGGAGCCTGTTGCCTTGGCAACCCCTTGTCAGAGGCCTCCCTCCTGGCTGGGCTGCCCCGTTGGGCTGCGGGTCCATGTGCCAGCCCCCACTACCACCATGCTGGCCCCTCTGCTAGCCAGCCTTCTGCCCTGTCCTCTTGAAGGAAGGTGGGGTGTGGGGGCGGGGCAGGAGGGAGGACCTTGGGGACTCTGGCTGAGCTTGATGGCCTGCGTGTGAGACCCAGGCTGGAGCTGGCAGTGTCAGAGGCTGTGTGACTCTGTGTGTGATAGTCCCTATCTTACAGCCCCTGGCAGGCTGTGTCCCTGGGTGTACATCAGTGCCTGTGACTTGACTCTCAGAGCCCCATGGATGGCTGCGCTTTCTCTCTGAGGATGTGTGTCCCCATGTGTGACAGTGTGTGCCCGTGTCCTGAGGGAGGGGCCTGGCAGGGGACTTCCTGGGCATGTCCCTGGGCTCCTCTTCTCCCTGTGGGCTTCCCTCCTTGCTGCCTGCCCCACCTTCCAGGGCTGGCAGTGCAGATGTGACGAGGGTGTGTGGTGCTCAGGGTGAACCGGGGGTCAGGCTGGGTGTGGTGGGGGGGCCGAGGTCAATGTCTCCCTGGCTCTGCAGCCTAATATCATAGAGGCTCCGAATCTGTCTGTCTGGGGGAATGGAGGAGGAAGCCACCCCTAAAACTGGGGTCGAAATCTCTGAGTGTGCTCTAGTCACTGTCAGCAACAGAGGCCCCCTCCCACCTCTGCCTCCACTCTCCAATTAATCACCAAGTCCTGTCCAATCTCCTCCTAATCACTGCTTCCAAGAGCTCCTCCTCTCTTGGCCACCACTGCCCGGCCCAGGCCAAGCACCTCCCTCCCCAGGACGTGCAGCAGTCTCCCCACTGCTGGCCCCTGGGCCCAGGTTCCACATCTTGCCTCTATCTATCTCCCATGCCCCATCCCCTCACCATTCTGTGTCCACGAAGATAAAATGCAGCTTAGATCCTGTCACGCCCCTGCTTGGGACCCATCAACACTGCACTTTGTTCCTAGGGCAAAGTGTCAGCTCCTCAGCCTGGTCTTCCCCGGTCAGGCCTCTGCCCACCCCTGTCCTCTCCCTATTGCTCCCTTACCCAGCCACACCAGCAACTAAGAGTTTCCAGAAGAGGCCAGGATCTCTCTTGCCTCTGTGCCTTTGCACATAACTGCTCCCCAGCCTGGAACTTGAATCCTCCCTCCATTGGATAAAGCTTAGTCATCCTGGGACACAGTGCAGGTAATGCCTCCAATGGGAAGCCTTCCCTGATTGCCCGAAGGCTGAGTTAGGAGCCTATGCTTCTCCTAACATCCTGGGCTGCTCTCCCACCCCACCCACACATTGCACGTATTTCGAATGGATTTTCTCCCCCTGAAAATGTGTAGAAGATTTGGAAGAAACAGAAAAGTATAAATTGAAACAAAAAATCACCCAGAATCCTCTCAGATTACCTCTCAGTTTATTTCCTTCCAGACTTCTTTAAATGAATTGATGAAATACTTTCTTTCTAAAATAAAGGCCATTCTATATGTACGGTTTTCTTTCCTGCTTTGTTTCACGTATCATTATATTGTGAGCATCTGCCCAGGTTATTAAAAATTCTTCAAGAACATGACTTTTAATGTTTGCATAATATCTTTATATATCACAATTTATTTATCCAACCCTCTATTGCTAGACATTTATGCTGTTACGATTTTTGATGGTTGTAAATAACAGTAATAAGCATCTTTGTACATGGTGCTTTTTAACAGCTGCGGTTATTTTTTGGATTGAGTTCTTCCAAGTAGCTTGATGAGACCAAAGGGTCTATCTGTTTTTAAATCTCTAACACACCTGCCCTGTGTTAGAGCTTTCTAGAAAAGTTGTTCTAATTTACCCTTTCATCAATGGAGTCTGAGAGCGGCCCAGATTTCAGTTTTCACAACACTGGTGCTGTCTTTAAAAAACAAAACAAAACAAAACAAAATCTGTCTTAATTTCAATAGGTAAAACCGCATTATACTGTTGTTTTGATTTGCATTTCTTTGATTACTGGGGAGGATCAACCTTTTGGATCTCCTCTTTTGTGTCATGCGTGCATCACACTGAGCTATAATTATATTTCACATCCTGCCTCTGCCTCACCAACCTCAGCTCTGAGGGCGGGAGCTTCGGAGTCCTGTATGGATTGAATTGAGGCCTCTGGCTTCGGTCTGAGCTTTGGCCTCAGGCAGACCTGGGGGTCAAGCTCAGCTCTGAGGCTTGAACTTGGGCAAATGGCCTTGCTTCTCTGAGCCTCAGTTTCCTCGTGTGTCAAGTGGGTTTGAAAGAGCACTATACATGACAAGTGTGGAGAGGCGTGTGAAGAGTTGTGAGCAGAGGCGAGTTTTTCAGGGCTAGGAGGCAGTGTTCCGTTCACATCCAGGAAGCTGACTTTGCTGAGGGAAGAGAAAATGTTCAGGAACAGCCAACTCCTCCTTCCCTGAGCCAAGATGGCGCCCAGATGCCTCTTGGTCCAGAGGTGGATAGGAGCTCAGAGAAAAGTATCCAGGCAAGACTGGGAAGGACAGTGGCACAGCAGGTAGGCTTCAAGTTCAAGTTCAGCCCCGATCAGGGAGTTCCTGTCCTTGTGGTAAGTCAAGAGTGACTCTGTTCATGTGTGGCAGGGTTTCTGTGTTGTGGGCTATTGCCCACACTATTGCCTGCTATGACTGAATTGCCCATTGAACAGAGAGGGAGAGCATCTCTGCTCTGGTGGCACAGCATCTCTTCTGAAGACTGGCCCTCAGCCACGGGGAGTGTCTTGGAGACAAACCCCTGCTGGGGGCGCCCTCACACATTCTGGCTCAGGACATATTCTAAGACAGACATGAGAGCAATTTCTCTGCACATTACCAGCCTAATGATACTGTCATTTGGAGTCTGGAAATGAGGAGGAATCGGCTTTTTCTCGGTAATTAATGTGAGCGATGGGCCTTGAGATAGTGTAGCAGCCCCCCAAGTGAGAACCAAGCTCTCAGGCAAGTCAGCCAGGTCATCCCCCTGCCTCTGGAAAGATCCGTGTTTCATCCCAGCTTCTTCTTCCTGACACCCCTTGGATAGGTCAAGCCCCCTCCCCTTCCCCATTGGGGGATCACTTTAGGGACCACCTGAGCTCTGATGGCTAGGAGGTTCTTCCTTGAGCCTGCCCAGAGTCCTTCATGCTGCAGTTCAGTCTGCTCTGCTACAGTCCCATGAGAGCTGCCTTTGCTTTTTGAGAATTCTTGGCTGTAGAGGGCTTTCTTTATCTCACTTACTGAAAGCAGAGGTGAAAACACCAGGGCAGGGCTGGTGGAGGTGGAGTGCTTCAGATTGTGATGGTCTTCAGGAGGAAACCCTAGAGGGGATGGGGGCAGGGGTTGGCTCCAATGGGTAGAGGCTGGAAGCTAACCCAGCTTTCCTTTCTAAGAGAAGCATTCACTAGGTTCAAAACTATTTATCTGGGCCTCTGCCTCAGTTTCCCCACTGTGCTCAGTGGAGGGGGGCGGAAATGTTTTTGTCCTATCCCTTTGTCTTCTTTCTCCATTCACTTTTGGTGCTGGGTGAAGGAGACATCGAGTAAATCAGCGCCGGGACCTGCTTTTTTTTTTTTTTTTTTTGAGATGGGGTTTTGTTCTCGTGCACCAGGCTGGAGTGCAATGGTGCAATCTTGGCTCACTGCAACCTCTGCCTCCTGGGTTCAAGCAATTCTCCTGCCTCAGCCTTCAGAGTAGCTGGGATTACAGACATGCGCCACCAGGCCCGGCTAACTTTTGTATTTTTAGTAGAGACGGGGTTTCACCATGTTGGCCAAGCTGGTCTCAAACTCCTGACCTCAGGTGATCTGCCTGCCTCAGCCTCCAAAGTGCTGGGATTACAGGCATGAACCACCGCACCCCAGCCAGGCCCTGCTTCTAATCAGCTCCAAGTCAGGTGGGACAGGCAGACCCTGGTACAAAGAGCTCTGATATGGAGTGACCTGTGCCTCAAAAGAAGGAGTTTACAGACAGAGCCCAGGGGAGAGAAGAATTGGTATTTCCTGGGGAAATCTGGGAGGCAAAGGAGGGGGCCTGGGAGGATACATTTGGTAACAAAAAAGGGGTGCTGGGAAAGCAATGTGGGCAGAGGGAACAACATGGCCAAAGGCTTGGAGGTGCGACAGAGCCTGGCACAATCTGTAATTGGTGTCTAGCTCCCAGGGAACAGGGTGGATGCAGAGCAGGGAAGGGAGGGAAAGCTGGAATGTCTACAGTGGGTTGGAACTTTATTCTGAGAGCACTGGGGAGACATTGAGGGTTTAAGCAGAGGAGGAATATGGGGTAGGGTTGTGCCATAGGGTGGTCACTTGGAGAAAACATGAACAGGGAATGGTTGGGGGACAGTAGTGGCAGCTACTGCTATGGTACCTGTGGTCCTGAATGAGGATGGTGGGTTCTAGAGATGTTAACAGGGCAAACCACATGGGAACTCATGGCATGCTGTGGGTGGGAGGGATGGCAGCTGGTGATCCAAGATCCCAAGTTTAAGATGAGTCCCAGCACAGTCCACTCCTTTCACCCTGAAGCCTTGGAGGCTCTCAAGGCCTCCAGCAGAATGTTTAAATTTCCTGGAATGACAGTCCCAGCCTGGCCCTATATATCTCTGTGGCCTTAGCTCCCCTCCCTTCCCGTGCTCTGGTTCACCTGGTTTCTCCATTAGCCTTGAGCTCCTATGGCTTATTCCAGCATCCAAGCCAATGCTCACATTAATTACTGTTCCACTTCCCCATGCTGCCATCCCTCTTCTCTCCCTCCCCAAATCTTCCCCATCTTCTCACTAAAGCCAGCCCTGTAGGCCTTGGCACCCTTCCTCCCTCACTTTCACCTTCCCTCCCTTTCCTCTACCTTCTTCACTTAGCACAGGCCTGGACTGACCATGTAATCAACATAAACAGTTTCCTAAAGATCCTATAAGGAGAACTGCAGGCCTTGGCCCAGATTAGACCAGAAAGCTGGCTCCCATCCCCCAGGGGCCCTGACAGGGCCAGGCCAGGGGAACAGTCTTGTCTGCAGCTATGTTCCTCGGCCAATGGAGCTGTCGTTATTGCTCCAAATTAGGCACCAATTTGCCCGTGTAATTGTTTGCTAATTAGCATGAAATCCTAATGTAATTAGTTGGGCCCCTTATCCGGGAGCCTGGGGAGCCAGAGGCAGTGGGGGGCCGCTGGAGCAGGGAGGGTCTAGGAGGCTGGAGAAATGGTTGTTTGAGAGAGAAGGTCCTGAGCTGCTGTCAGGGCTGAGACAGGGAGTGATAGAAATTCTGGAATCTCACAGTTGAAAGGGCCTTTGGAGAGGCTAGAACTTGCCGCCACCTTACGGAGGGGGACACTGATAACAGAGCGAGGAACCTCCTGGGAGCTGGTGGCAGAGCTGGACCAAACATCCAAGCCATCTGTTTACACTGGCTAGAGCTATGCTCTGGCTGAGGGTGAAGATGACATGGCCCGTGGCTCTCTGGCATCCACTTCTAAAGAAGGGAAGCAGGAAGGGTGGGTGGGGTGTGGTATCAGCCCACCCTTTTTTTCTTTGAGACAGGTTCTCACTCTTGTTGCCCAGGCTGGAGTGCAGTGCAGTGATCTGAGCTCGCTGCAACTTTGACTTCCCAGGCTTAAGTGATCCTCCTGCCTCAGCCTCCCAAGTAGGTGAAACTATTCACATGTGCCACTATGCCTGGCTGATTTTTGTATTTTTATTACAGACGGGGTCTCACCATGTTGCCCAAGCTGCTCTCAAATTCCTGGGCTCAAGTGATCTTCCTGCCTCAGCCTCCCGAAGTGCTGGGGTTATAGGTGTGCACCACTGTGCCCAGCCCAGCCCACCTTTTAGGTAGGAAATGCAATGGAAAGAGGGCCTAGGCAGGATGCCAAATTGTTAGAGCTGGAGGAGCAGCAGGAACACAGAAGAGGTTTCCAGAGCTTCCTGGGGAATGACTTGGGTGTCCAGAGGGAAGAAGGGTAGGCCAGAATGCTGTCCTCACTGACTGTTGGGCAGATCCCCTTACTGCCACTTTAGGCTTTCTGCCTCTCTCCATCTCTCTGGAAAGGGTCTGGAGAAGGTGCTAGAGCCAGCGCATACTAGCCTGTGAGAGTGGACTGTTAAATTTTTAGGAATTTTGCCAGCCAGTTAACTTCACATTGGTAATATAAATTGGCCGTCATGGGAGGATTTACACCATGGAAATTGGCAAATGCTGCAAATCAGGGTTGCACTTCCCTGCCCCCAAGCCAGTTGTTGAATGGTACCAGCATACCACTGAACCCGCCTGAAATGTGATGAAATAGCCCCAGCTCTCTCTCAGGCAGCTGGGTAGGATCGAGAAAAGGAGCAGCTGCTCTCAGGACCGTTCTGGGAATGCCCCATTAGTCACATGGTCTCCATTCCCCACTCCCCATCCCTAGCATCCAGTCTCCCCAGAATTGACTCTCACACCTTGGGTTGCTTCCTCTTCCCCTCCCTGCAGTTATCCTCTGCATCACTTCCCAGGGTTCAGTTCTCTTTACTTCCTATCATTTATTTTTTAGAGTTGGGGTCTTGCTCTGCCCAGTCTTACTCTATACAGGCAGTGATCATGGTTCACTGCAGCCTTGAACTCCTGGGCTCAAGCAATCCTTCTGCTTCAGCCTCCTGAGTAGTTGGGACTACAAGGGTGCACCACCATATCTGGCTAATCTATTTTTTTGACAAGAATGGGTTCTCGCTATATTGCCCAGGCTGGTCTCAAACCCCTGGGCTCAAGTGATCCTCCCCATCTTGGCCTCCCAAAGTGCTAGGATTACAGGTGTGAGCCACCGCACCTGGCCTCTTAATCCCTATCTTTACCCAGATCTCTCCTGTTTCCTGGACACTGTCTCTGGATGTCCTGAAGGCACCTCAATGCAGCATGTCTAAAATAGAAATCATCGACTTCCCACAGTCTTTCCCCATCTGAGTAAATGGCACACTCCCCCTCAGGGCCTTTGCACTGGCAATTTCCCCTATTTGAACAGCTCTTCCTCAAAATATCCCTCACATCCCTCAGGAGTCTGCTCAGATGTCACCTTCTCAGAGACATCTTCCTTGACCACCTTTCCTAAAACAGCCCCCATTCTCATCCGCCACTTCTGCCCCCTTGCCGGACACTCTTTTCCCTTTTCACACTTGTCCACACAGACATTCCATACATTTAAGTGTTCGTGTCTGCCTCCTTTTCCCCACTAGAAGGTGAACTCCACATAAACACAGCAGTTATGTGGTCAGGCTCTAGACGTTCCTTAGAGTCTCGGAACTGTTCGACTGATTGTATCTGTTCAGCTCACTCACTTTTAGTAAGCTCCCAATAAATAATTCTTGAAGGAATGAATGAGCCTCCAAGCCGGTCCCCTTCTTCAATCCTGACTCCTCAAATCCACCTTCCATTTGCCCCAGTTGTTTCTTAAACAAACTTGACTATGATTCATTTCCGTCCAAAACCCTTCATAGATCTCTTTTGCTTTCAGAATAAAATATACCTCTGGTTTGGCTTACAAGGCCCTCAGTGATGTATTTCCAGCCTAACCTTCATTTCACACATCTTCCCCCAAGCATACGCACCACACACATACAAACACACACACACACGTGCGCACGCACGTACACAGTAGTGCACACAGCCTGGGTATACTATTTCTGTCTCTTCTGTACAATGCTCCCTCCTTTCTTAAGTGGTCCTGCATTCTCTGACTCATTTACTTCTTTCCTTCATTCCATCAATATGTGTTTTAAATGAAGTAGACCCTTGGTGCCAGGCCCATAGCTGAGCATTACTGGGAGGAGTCAGCCCACACCCCTTCTCAAAATGCTCCCAATCTGGCAGGGAAGGAGGCTGCGAAGTCATCATTCCATCTGCAGTTCCTCCTTTATTGTCCTTTGGACATCCTGACATCACCATCATGCCAGGTCTCTGTGGCTGGGGGAGGGAGGAGCATCCCCGTGAAGAGGCAGCCCCTGGCCCTTGCCTACTTCTGGCTGCGGTGTGGCACCTGATGGAAATGACTGGATTTGGGGTCTGCTTTTTCCTGCTAACCCTTGACTGAGAGCTTCAGGGAGGTAGGATGGAGGGTGAACCACCTCTGGTTCTCCACAGCCATTGTAGAGGGGACCTTGAGTGACTCAAGGTTGCCCCTATTCTCTGGGACTTCTGAGTCTTGGCCTTCTTCAACCACAGAGTCCAAGACCCAGGGAGAGGTGGGGTTGTTTGAGTGTGGGGGGTGCACAGATCTGCTGAGTCTCTGGGTCAGGTGTATGTGTGTGTGTGCACTTCTGGGTGTGCACCAGTGGGCTTGTCCCTGAGCCCCGTGTCAGGGGCCTGTCCCAGACTCCTGTGCCAAGTCAGCTGTGCTGGGGAACGTGGTGTGTCTGAATTACAGCAGTGTGTGCCTGCACTGCCTCGGATCCCGGTGGTCTTTCCTGCACTCTAACTTGAGTCTCCAGCTCAGCCACAAGACAGGGAAGCTCTCACAGCTAGCAGGCCCATTGCCCAAGACAGATGAGCTGCCCCCAAGCCCTCAGCAGAGCGAGAGTGTGCAGCCGGCGCCGCTGGGTCCCTCCCGCTAACGGCCCATCCTCTCCAGCCATTGCCTCCCGAGTGCCCATTGAATGCCCGTGGGTCACTGAGCGGGGCCGCTGGAGGAAGGGGCGGATGTGCCCAATGCTGGCGGTGGGCCCGGGGTGCCTGGGAGGAAAGGGCCGTTTGCTCAGCCCCCTCCCAGAGCCCAGAGAAGGCCCTCGCGGGGCGGGCACACAGTGCGCAGTGGGTGGGCGGTACTGGCTGTTGGGGGACACAGGGGCTGCTTAGCCCTCGGCCCCCGCGCTCCCTGGCGTGGCACCCTTCTGCACACTCACACACACTCATTCCCACAGCTACACACTCACACTCCAGCACTTGCAGGTGCAAACCCTTGCAGGGCACACCACGACACAGACACCCAAGCACACACATGCATTGGCCAGAACACGGACACACAAGGGCACAGGCAGGCTCAGAGACTCGTCCCTGAGTCATATATAGCCCAGACTGGGATGCACACACACAGATGGGAACGCTCGCCTGCACGTGCACAGACACACGGACACACCCGCACACCCCCCGCGGGGGTCCGAGCACACACGCGCCCCGGCAGACGCGCACAGAAACACACAGGGCCGGGCACGACGACATACACAGACACAGGTTCAAATACACAGACTCGGTCCTAAAAATACGCACTTGCAGAGGCAAAGGCTTGCGCACAAGCACGCACAGACACACCAACAGGCGACCCACGACACCGCGCTCCCTGCCACACAGCCCAAGCCAGGGCTCGCACACGGCCTCACGGAGTACAGTCACAAAACACCCCGACACACGCCACACACGCAGGCGCGTATTCGCGGACACACAAAAGCACCGCACACACAATCGCGCAACGCAGACGCACTTGGGCCCGAGTTGCCTTTGAAATTCAAATTCGCGCTCCCTTCCGCCGCTCCCAGCCGCGGCAGGGTCCCACACACGGGCCCAGGACTCACAACGCTGCCAGCCCTGAGCGGAAATTAACATTCATTTCAGGGGAGACCAGAACAGGGTGTGGGAAGCGCAGTCGCGTTCTGGCAGTGGGGACCTTTGTGAGGGTAAGGGGTAAGGGCACCATAGGAATAGGAGCCTCTGTCCCTCCATATGTGACCTTGACCCAGTGGCTGTGCAGCTTCAGCGTTCCCTCACAAGGGGAACCTCCAATGGAAAGTTAGGCTCACAGCTGGCCAAGCTGGTTATAAGGGACGGCCCGATGGAGGATTCAGCCTGGGAATAGGAGAGGGCTTCCAGGGGAGGATTACTTCCCAAAGTCTCCAAAGACAAGAATCCCAAGGCCACAGATACAGATCTGCAGATGTGCCCCACAGTGCATCCAAATCCCTCATCCAGACAGATACAGGACACCCAGAGACATGTACCCAACAGTATCACACACAGACCTCCCTGGAAGTTGAGGGCCTGCCAGCACCGCCTGGCACACACAGAGATATGCACTGCAGGCTGGCACAGACACATGCCACTGACACCCAGATGTGGTCACACTGGGGCCTGAAATGCCATGCACCCTGACTCACCAAAGGCACAGACACACACAGGCCTGCAAACACTTTGCACACACACACACATACACACACACACAGGCTCAAGCACACACTGAACACAAGGAAACACTGCACTGTGGTTGCACACAAACTCCAATGACATGCAAATACTGCCCTGTCAATACACCTCACATTTGCCCAGACACAGTAGAGGCCAAATCCCAGTGTCATATGTGCGTATGCGTTCTACCCCATACATACACACAGACAGAAAAGAAATGCATGAACATGCCACACACCCTGCAAACAAAGGCACACGCTTGCACACGCAGCAGAGATCCAGAGTCAGGTCCAGGCTTCTGACGTACCAAGTCTAGGCAGACACACACGAAAACTGCACACAGGCACGCCATAGACACACACAGACTCTCCCCCTACACATTGACGCACACAACCACCCACACGTGTACCGGAACTCAGCCCCACTCACTCCCACTCTGACACACAGAACACTCACTTGGCAAGGTGCTCCAGGGCCCTCCCCTCCAACCACAAGGCTCTGGAGCCTTACACCGCTACCCCTGCTCCATCCACAGGCCTCACCCCCTAGCCTGGGACTCTCTGAGGTCAGAGTTGTGCCAGGGTTGGCGGTGAGCCAGAAGCACCACTCCCTAACCCTGCAGTGATTGCTTTATTACCAGTGTGGGGTGGTGTGCGTTCCTCTCCAGCAAGAGCGACAGATGTCCTCCTGGGGTGTGTCATTGTGTGGTCCTGCCGGCAAAGAGTGTGGTTGTGCCAGCCAGGGAGGCCTGTAGGTGTCACCAGTCCTGTGTCTCGTCCTTCTCAGCACCCTCAGCAAGTCTGGTTGTCTCCCCCAAAACCTAGGGGTCCAGCCTCAGCCTCTTCTAACAGGTGTCAAGCCCTGGGAGTCAGAACCCCACTGACCAAATCTCTCAGCTCCAGGGAGCTGGTCTTCTCTGGAACATCAACTCTAATCTCAAAATAAATTGTTTCAAAAGTTGGTGCTTGGTCTGTCCTCTGGAGGGTAGCAAGGACCAGGCCCAGCCAGGAGGAGGCAGAACTGAAACAGGGCCTCAAGCAAACCCTGAATGGGGTGGAGGCCTGCTGCTTGTCTCAGCCTCTCTGTAAACCAGTTTCCTCATCTGTGAAATGTGGGTGACCAGACCGATTGCAAGGGTTGTTCTGAAGGCTCATTTGAACAATAAGTGGAGAGCAGCTGGCACAGTGTCAGGCCCACAGAGGGGCTTGGCTGGATGAGCCGGTGCCTCCAAACCTCTAGGTCACTGCACCCCTGCCTGCTAAGCCCATGTGTCCTGCTTGGCACAAGCCCAGTTCAGCAGGATCCAGGTGGCACAGAGCCCAGGAGAGAGGACCTGGGGCATCCCAGGCAGTGAAACACACTGCCCCCCTCCCCCGCTACTGCCTGCGTGCCCCTGCCTGCTGAGAGTGTCCCAGCCCCTCCCTGAGGGATGCTCCTCACCCTCGTCCACGGAAGGAAGCTGGGAGCAGCTCTTCTTAGGCGTCTCTGCCTCCTGCATATCCACCAGCCTCAGGATGTGGGTAGAGGGGATGGTGCTGCCATCTCTGGCTGTCTGGAATGGCTGCCAGGGCTCACTGACCTTAAGGCCTACAGTAGGGGAGTGTGGGATTAGATCTTAGGAAGAATTTACCAAGGGGGAGTGCCTGGGTTCCCTCCTGTGAGGGACTGTGTCTGACCTCAGTCTAGAGCCAGAGGTGGTAGGACTAATCAATAAGCCAGACATATCCCTACTGGACCAGAAAAATGGAGAGGGCTTGTGTCCTGGGGTTGTGTGTACGTGGTTATTTATATACTTGTGAATCCCAGTCAAGTATATATGTCTATGGACTGGCAACTGTGTCAGTATGTAGATATGGCTTTATCTGTACATGCAGACGTGTGTGTGTGTGTGTTTACACAGACATGGAAGGCCAAAAAGGAAGAGGAACTTCCAAATAAGGAGAAGAGGTGCTGCAGAGAAGTGGATTCAGATTCAGTTTCTCTCCAGGGATCCCCCCCACACACACTGTCCCTGTCACTCTGGCAAAACCTTGGCTCCTGCCTCCTTCTCTGCAATGATCTCAGCAGATAAGAGCTCCTGCTGGTATACCTCTCTCCCTTTTGGGGATGTGGGGGTTGCTGGGAAGGTGTTAAGGTTAGGACCCCTATTCTGAGTGAACTCTGTGTCCCCAGAACACAGCCCATAGCCCTAGTAAGTCTGAAAGAGGCCCACATTCATGCAGATGACATCTACATGCAGATGGCATCTGGGCATAGCACTATGTGAAGCACTTTCTTTTTTTTATCTGATGTGAATCACATTAGCTCTGCTAAGTTGGGATCATTGTTTCCATTTTACAGAAGAGAAACTGAGGCTTGGGTGTCATAAGTGATCTGCCCAAGGACACACAACTGGTGAGGGACAGAGGCAAGAATCCAGGTCTGTGTGGCCTCAGAGGCTGAATCCTTTCTGGTTCATCACATGGAAAACTGTGAACCAGTGTTTTACTGGACAAGCATCAGTCAAGGGTCACAGATGGAAAGCTCTGTGAGAGCAAGGTGTCTGCTTGCCATTTCACCATTCATTCACTCAGCAAATATTTGCTGAGTACTTACCTTGTACCTGGTGCTGCGTGCCACAGGCTCCAGCTGTGAATGGATGGACAAGGTCCCTCACTTCATGGAACTCACAGTCCAGGGGGGCAAAAAACAGGTGACATGAATGTAAATAAACAACGTATTTTCAGAGCAATGAGTACTGCCAAGGAAAAATAACAGGGATATGGGATGAAGCAATTGGGGGTGGGGCAGGGCTAGTTTAGGAGTGTGGTCAGGTGAGGCTCCCTGGAGGAGGTGATGATGGAGCTAAGAACTTCTTGATAAGGAGTCAGCCATGGGAATTGCTGGGGGAAGGGTTCGGAGTTTTCTAAGAGCAGCAAGGAGAACTGTGTGGCTGCAGCATAGTGTGGGGTGGGGGTAGGGGACTGGAGATGGTCTGAGAGCCTGCTAAGGGCCAGAACATACAGGGTCTGGAAGGCCACATTGTCAAGTGCAGTGGGAAACCACTAGAAGGCTTAAGAGGTACCCTGATTTACATTTTTAAAGAGATGGCTCAGTGGGCTCCAGGAGAATGGACTGGGGTGGAGGAGGTAGGAGTGGGAGCTCAGAAATTAAGTAAGGGAGAATCTAGGCACTGAATGAAGGTGGTGTGGACTACCCTGTTGGCAGTGGAGATGTAAAGAGTGGATAGATCTGGGATATTTTGGGAGGTAGAAACAACAAGACTTGCTGATGGCCAGGATCCCAGTGCCTAGAACATAGTAGACTCAATAATTATTTGTTGAATAAATGAATAAAGGTGCCAGGCTCTATATACACTTGTGTGTACCCTCTGGTATGAGGCATGTATGTTAAGATCACCCAGGACCCTAACGGGCTGCTCTACCCTCTGCCCTAGGGGCCAGAGAACGCAGGCACTGCTCAATGAGTTGCACACAAACCAGGCATTTCTGGGAGGATTTGGCTAGGGAGCAAGGCATCCTCCCTTCTTTCCCCAGTCTGCAGCAGCAAGAAAATGACAAACACTCAACCTGGGTTGCCCCAGGCTCCTAACCCATTTGGCATCTGCAGCAGGAAGGATGGAAGCTAGACATGCAGGATTTCCCACAGGCAGAGAGGGCAGTCCACCTTTTCCAGGATGGCCTCCAGGATGCCATTCAGAGCTCTCAGGTGTTGGTCATACGAACTCTGGGGCAGAAGATTGTCACATGGGTTTGGGTCTTTATGGACATGTTATGAGCTCCTGATAGGTGTCTGGGGTAGGGGCGGGGCTGGAAGGAGACCTTGGCACCCACAGCTCTGGGTGGCCCTAGGGGGTGCCTATTTGAATGGCAGTGGTGAACAGGGCTGAGTGAGGGGTGCTCCTAGGTCCCACTGGCTGGAAGGAAACCTGCCTAGGCTCTGGGCCAAATAAATCATTGGGAAGGAAAGAAGAACATTTTCTCATCTGTTTAAAGGGCAACGAAGCATAGCCGTGGCTGGCCCAGAGGGAGGCAAGGCTGAGGCCAGGCAGGTGAGGCCAGGGCAGCTCCTTTCCTCGACATACCATCCTCTCCTGAGCAGCCCTACCGGCTTAGGCTTTGAGAGCTATCTGCCTTCCAACTAGGCCATTGATGGTTGTTATTGTTGACAAAAATATTAATTAATTGGTAATAAAATAACTACTTACAAAGACCCTTTCAGGGACATAGCCCTTGCTAATCTATCTTTTCTCTCACTGGATCCCAGGCTGAGATCATTTATACCATTTCTCAGATAAGGAAACAGAGGCCCAGAAAGTTGAATGGACTTTCTCAAGGTCACCTAGCAAGGCAGGGTGACAGCAAGGCAGTTGCCCTTGGAGTGGGTCCCCATAATCCCATCAGAGGTTCCAGAGGGGGCCCCAATGGGGCTAAGGGCTGAGGTCATTGTCTTTTGTCCAGCTTAGGGGGATGTCCCTTTATTCTGCCCAAGCCCTTTGCACTCAAGCTCTGACCAGTGCCCCTTCCCATGCCCAGTCTCTGCCCCAGGCTCCCTGGAGGCCCCTCCCGGGGCTAAAACTTGCTCTCTTCACCCCTGCCTGAGCATCAGATAAGTAATTTCTCTTCAACCAGCTGGATTTGAATATGGAAACGATATGTAATTACTCCAAGTCCTCCTGGGCGCCATTATTACCAAAGTGAGTCTGGAAGGGTAGGGGCTCCTGGGAAAGGAGGTGGGGAAACCCTGATTCAGAGAGGTGCCTCCAGGGAGAGCCTTCCAGGGGTCAGCCCTAGTCTCGCCTGCTCACTCCTATGCAACCCCAGGGGAGTCCTGCTCTCCCCACACAGCTCCCACAGCTCCTTTTGCCTTGCTGACCTCCCCACCTTGCCCCAGTGAGATCCTGGGTATGGGACACCATCTCTGTCAGTCTCTTACTCTGTCTGACCACCTGTCTTTCCCTGGGTATACATTTTTGTGGTTGATCAAAGGGGTCAAGAAGTCAGAGGGCTACCAAGGAACAGAGAGACAGACAAAAACCGCTGCTGTCTGGAGCCATCCCTCCCATCACCTCTCACTCAGCTGCATCCTGGGGAAGGAGGAGGGGGGCTTAAGGGATCCAGCTGCATTACATCTGCAAGAGACCTGCCTGGTTTTCTCTGGGCTCTGGTCTCTAATACGCTAATTATCATGAATATTCATAAAGAGGGAAGCAGGCTCCTTGTAGGAGAAGGGTGGGCTCCCTGCCGGAGAAGGGTGGGCTCCCTGCCAGAGAGGAGCTTGGACAGGGTCCTGGATATTTCTAAGGGACTTGCATCCTTATGGGCAACCCATGTCCCCACCATTTTCCCCACTTTTCCCCACCTCCTTGAAGCCCTAGTCTCAGTAACCCCACTGCCCCTCCCAGTGCCCGTGTAAGGAGAGGGCCCAGATTTCCCACTGCCCTGGGATGGCTCCCAACACACTTTGCAGCTGGCAAGGCCTGCCTGGAGTGGGTTTCACAGTAGCAGCTGAGCCTTGAAACCCAGAGATGTCTGGGTGTGTTTGAGGGTGCCCAGCAAACCCTAGGAGCCCTGCTTGCCAGTGCTAGGCCCAAGGCACAGGCCTCCTTGGGCATCCACAAGGAAAGGCAAGGTGCCGGCCCAGTCCTCCTCCCTGCCTCATAAGGCCTCATAAATTTTCTTAAGGTGACAGGTGAGATTCCTCCATTGCCCCTTATTACCTCCTTCCATTAAAGTCGATAATCTCTCACAATCACTCACAACAAATGTCACTGAGGCTGCTGGAGGTGGGAAACACAGAAAGAGGGAAAAGAGGGCGGTTCTCAGCCTCTTCCTGATACTGCCCCTGGGAAGAGGTAGGCTTTGTCCCATCTCGGGGGTATCAACTCAAGGGGCATCAATGGAGAGATGGGGTTGGTATTGGCTGGACTGAGGATTTCTTTGCCCTGCAAATTTGGCCCTACCTGGCTGGTGAACCTTCAAAAAGTATGGTCCTGAAACCATCCCACCCTCATTGCAAAGCAGAAACCATCCCACCCTTATTGCAAAGCTGCCCCCTGCTGGTTTCTTCTCTGACGAAAGCCATGGGATTAACCTACTTGTGTTGGCTGCAATGGTGTGTTCCCGGTCAGCCTACCTTACTGATGGCAACGTGCCCAGGCCACAGATCGCCTGACCAGGGCCCTGAGCCATGGGCATCTCCCTTTGTACCGTCTGAACCATGTGGGCTCAGCCCCACCCAACTGTTTCTGGGCACAGTGCCAAGATGGGGAAGGGGTGGGTCTGTACGTCTCTGCTGCTTCCACACAAACAGATGCAACATGGGGGTGCCCCTGGCACAGGGAAAGGCACTTGTGGGAATAGATGGGGACTCAAGAAGACATGTAACACACTGCACACGTGTAGCATACCCGTGCCTAGGAACGTGCAACATGCAGTTTACAGTATGCATCAAACATGTCACACTGCAGTATACATATGTGGCTGCTACATATGAGTTACCCAGAGTCCTCAACACACATGTGGCACCTGTAAGCTTGCATACATATAGCTTCCCTGAGCACAGGAACAAGCAACATGCATCGAGGACCTGGGCAGATGTTAATACACCGTGCATGTGTGTAGCACTTGGCACATGGCAGTGCACACTTAGGGCACCTGTATGCATATGCAAAGTTAAGCGCACATGACTGGCACCTGCATGCACAGGGACATGCAATATGCAATGCACACGAGAAGGCGAGCAAATGCTTCAGCCCGCAGGGCCCGGGAGATCCTGGCGGCGCGACATGCCTTGGGCCTGGGTATCGCTGGAGGGGCGTCGCGGATCGCCTCATTCTGCGGTCCGGGAGGCGGCGGGCGGGGCGGGGGCTTACCCAGGGCTTCTCCCGCGCCGGCGCCTGGGGCTCAAGGCAGGGAGGTGGGGGGCGCGCTCGGCTCGGCTGGCGCTGTTCCCCCTTTAACAGGAGGCGGCGCGCGTCGCCCCCGCCCCCCCGCCCCTTCTCCCGCGGCTCCTCGCGCCCGGCCCGGCGCGCGCCCCCTCCCGGGCCCGGCCCGCGCAGGCGCCGCGTCCCGCCTCGGCCGTCACTCGGCCCGGCGCGCGCTGCGGGCAGCGGCCGGAGCGGCCAGAGGAACCGGGTTCGGCGGCAGCGGCGGCGGCTCTCGGAGACCGAGGATGCGGCACCGGCTCTCAGAGCCCGGAGCTGCGGCCGCCGCCTGCAAATAGGAGGCGGCGCGCGGCGCGGGCGGTGTTCGGGGCGGGGGGAGCGGGGGGCGGCGCGGCGAGGAGGCGGCGGCGGCGGCGGCGGTGGCGGCGGCAGCGGCAGGAGCCCGCTCCCGGCCCGGCGCCCGCCCGCCTCGCGCTGCTCCGCGGCGCCTTTTCTGCACCCGCCGCCCGGGGGAGCGGCAGTCTCGGCCCTCCGCGCGGCTGCAGCGACCTGCCCTGCGTCCGGCCCGGTCCCCGACTTAGGGATGGCAAACTTGCGCCCCGTGGCCGCCCCCGCCAGCGCCGGCCCCCGCTCCTGCTGCTGACGGCGCCCAGGTGAGTGCTCGGCCCCAGACCCAGACCTGGCCTCGCACCAAGCTCTCCCGGCGCGGTCCCGAGTTTCCGCACCGGCCCGGACTCGGGGCGCTCTCCTCACCCGTCTCTGCTGGATTCTCCCCCAGCCCGAACTGAGTTCGTTCAGCTTTCGCCCACCCTCATCTTCTGGGGAATTCCCAAGCCTGGGGCCGAGGCCCCCTTAATCGCTGGTGATTCTCTAATCTCTGCCCGCCCCCATCAGCCTGGACGGACCCTCTTACCCATCTATGCTAAAGTCTCCCCTTCCAGAATCCTGACAGACCGTGCCCCCTTTGCTGTCTCGAGTCTTTCCCTATCTCGGCCTGGATCCGTGCAGTGCGCCCCCCACCTTGATTAGAGCCCCCCCCATTAACCTGCAGCTCAACTGTGTCTCCCCCTCCATCTCCCTTCCCAGTATAAATGCCTGCTCCTCTCCTCCACTTCATCTCTGCTCTCAGTCTTTCTAGTCCCCATCTATGTCTGCCCATAGTTACTATCCTCCCCCGCGCCTGTACCCCGACCATGCTTCTTCTCTATTTCTGCCCCTAGTGCCCCCTCCCCCATATCTGCCCGGAGTCCCGCCTTCCCTCACCAATCTTGCTGCAAGTCCCCTCCCCCCCCAGCTTGGAATTGGGGCCGTGTCCCCCGTGTCTGCTCTGCGCCCCCTCCCCTCCAGCTGAGAACCCGACTGGACCCGCAGCCCTGACTTCCGTGTCCATCTTTGGCCGGAGTCTATCCGTCCATCCCCCATCCCCCATCCCTATCCTCCCACCCCTGGTCATAGAATTGGGCACCAGACGCACCCTCCCGCAGCCCAGGGCCGGCATGATCGAGAGCGGACTGTAGGCTGTGAAGTTGGCGGCCACTCCCGCAGTCCGCTCGGTCCGAGGGCACAGCCGCGGGAAGTCCGCGCCGCGGCCGGTGCAGAGCGGGCGACGGATCTGTTGCCCGCGGGGGGGAGGGGCGCCCGGGCCGAGAGATGCCGCCTGCCTGCCCACCTCGCCAGCTGCCGGCCGGGCTCCTGGGCGTCCTCTGGCGCCCCCTGCCCGAAGCCCGGGACCCACCACCCCTTCTCCCGCGGGCAACCCCGGGTTTCCGCAGCCAGAGTATTAGCTGTGGCTGCAGAACTGACGCTGGGAAGTCCCTGAGGAGAGGAGATTGGTGGGCCAGGCCAGGTGCCTCCGCGTGCTAGCCATGCCCAAACACTCCTGGTTGTCAGGCCATATGTTCTGGGGGTGGGATGGGTGGGGTGGAGGGCTCACCCCAGCAGCAAGTCAAGAGTCCTTTGAGCCTTCAGGCGCAGACCAGTAGGACTGGCCGCGGACTCGCAGGCTCCAGGATCTGGTCGAGCTTGTTTGTGCTTGGTCAGGTGTTGCTAGGGAGCCTCTACCCCATGGCATTTCCCATGAGGGGAGGGCTGGGGGCAAAGGTGGGCTCTGCCTGGCGGCATGGAGTAGATTGTGGGGGAATCCACCTGACCCTGGGACAGAGCAAGCACCTGGGGAGTATCCTCTGCACTGCTACCGGGGTGAGGGGCAGTATAGACTCTGCACAGGGTATGCCCTGGTGACGGTAGTGGGGAGGTTAGGGAGGGTCTTCTCTGGATGAAAATTGAGAGATCTTCCCCTCTTCTTCCCTCTCTTCTCCTTCCCCTCTCCCTTCTGCCCCCTTTCTGTACTACTCTTCAAAGGACATGTCTAGTCTGGGGTGTGTGTGCGTGGTCTGCATTTCTGTAACACAAAGTGAGATCCCATCTGGTCTCTGCCCCCATATCTCTCTCCCTCCCCACCCCAGGTCATGAAGCTGAGTAAGTAGTTAGGAACTCAGCTTTCAGTCAGATGACCTAGGTTCAAAAGCTGTGGGACATGGGCAAGCCACTTAATCTTTCTGAGCCTCAGTTGACCCTCTATAAAATGGGTCAGTGATCACTGCCTCATATAGCTGTTGGGAGAATGAAGTTAGGTTGTTTCTATAGGGTGTCTGGCACCTAGCAATGCTCAATCATGATAGGGGTGTGGGGCAGTTTCTGTTCAAGGCCAAGGTCAGACCCCTCTCCACTCCATTCCAAATCCCAAAGGAGAAAAATGAAAAACATGTTTCAGTGCCTTCAAACCAACTCCCAGAATAATAAAGACAGAAACACCTTTAGCCCCCGTGCCCTCTTCCCACACCCCCCCCAAAGTATGGGTACAGGGCAAGCTGGTGACTGTCAGTTTCCCTCATCTCCTCCCTGGTCCTGCAGCTTCCCACTATATTTCTCTAGGATCAGCTCTGGCCAGAGGGACATCAATGAAAGCCAGGTCAAGGTCTCTGGAGTCTTGGTTCAAGTGTAGAGGCTGCAGAGGTGGGAGAAGTACTAAGAAGAAACCCCAGTCAGAGTCCCCCAAGGCAGGCAGCCCGTTAGGGGGAGCCCAGGTGGGAAATCAGTCACTCAGACACAAAAGAGCCTCTACCCTCCTCCAGGAGGTCAGACACCATCAGGAACTTCCCAGGGCCCTTCACCTCTGGTCAGAGTTAGCAGGGCCACCTGGCCTGAGGGCTTGAGGAGTTTGAAGAAAACTGGCTTTGGCCTGAGTGGCTTGGGGGAAGGGAAGGTGGCGGGGAGGAAGGAGACTCGAACCTGTGATGATTGGAAGTCCTCTGGGCAGCGTGGCCGGACCTGGGTCCCACTGCGGAGTGGCAGCCTCCTCGCTACCCGCCTGCCCCGACAGCCCTGACATTGGGGAACAAAAGCATTCGGTTCCTGTAGCAACGGTGGCTCCAGCTGCTGCAAAGTTCCGGGGAGGCGGGCGGAGGGCGGCTGAGTCACCGCCCCCCCCTTCCCCCCCCCAGCCCTCGCGGCACCGCCCCCAGGGGCTGAGGGCTGCCCCTTGTCCCCCTCCCAGTTCTGTCCGCCTTTTCCTCCTTAAGGAGGAACCTCCTCCTCCAAGAGATTGACCCTCTTTGGCAATTGGAGCCGGAGGTCTGCACTGAGGGGGTCGCTCCCTCCCCTCGGCAGGGTCCCCCGGCTTCGGAGGCAGGATGGAGGGTGTGCGCCCTGCGGGGTGACAGAGCTCTGGGAGAGCGGCCCCTGAGGACCCTGTCCCTGGGTCCGCGCACTGGCAGAGGCCCCGGAGGCCTAGAGTGGGGGTCCCTGCCTACGTGTCGGCCTAGGCAGGGCGGGCGGCGAGCGCCCGGGAGGCTGAGGGTGAGTGACGGGCGGGCGAATTGGAGCTGCCAGGTGGATAAACGCAACGGCTGTGCCCGTCGCCGCACCCCTACCCCCGACCCGCCCCTCCCCCGCCACCCAGCGACGAATGGGAGTCGTCCCGGGAATCCCAGACCGGCCCTGGCCCCGAGACATTCCTACCCCGCCGCTCTACCCACCAACCCCTCAGTCTTGCCTTGGCCCTTTTAGCAGTTGAAAGCCTTGGATTCCTTTATCGGTGTGGAAGGGAAGCTGAGGAGGCCTGAGGGGTGGGAAAGGAAGGGGACTTGAGTGTGTTTAGGCAAAGTGGGATTCTTGGGTGTGCTGGGGTCAGGGGCAGTGGCGAAGGCAGCCCCCAGCCCCGCTAGGAGGGGGCTTGGAGAGGGAGACTACTCCAGCCAGCTCTGCACCCATCTCTAAAGAGAGGTCCTGAGGGAGGAGGTCTTTTGCTCCTCTCCATCAGCCACCTCTAGCCCAGGAAGTTCTTCCTCCGTGCTGACCTCAGTACCTCTCCTCTCTAGCTCTTATGCAGGGATGGGTTTGTGGTCTTCCTAGATTTGGAGGTAGCCAAGCCTCTTATGGTTCAACCCAAAGAGCCTTCCCAGAGGCAGTGCCCTGTACCTCAGCAAGAGGGCGGCATTTATGAGGCCCTGAGAAGACCAAGAGAGAGCTGTGAGCCAGGCTCTGTGCTGGGAACTTGTTGGGAGGCTGATGAGGTGTCTACCATCTTGAGGGCAAGGCTCACTGTCTGCATTGCACAGAGAGGGAAACTGAGGCTCAGGGAGGTTAATCATGACTAAGAGCCACTTGGGCTGCCTGTGAAGCAAGGATCATCTTTCTAGGTCCCCTTCCGGGAGTGGCTCAGGGAGAGGCCTCTGGGTGGGCAGTGCCCCTGGGAGGACAGGCCTGGCCACACATAGGCAGCAGGGTCTTTAATGAACCAGTGGCTCTCTGTGACCCAGCTTGGAATCGGGTCTTTGCCTTATTTTGAGTGGTGGCAAGTGATATAGAAAGGGGCCCCAAAAGGTCTTATGCTGCGGCCAGCACAGTGAGGGTCAGGCATGTCCAGGGCGAAATCCCAGAGCATGAACATGAATCTTCAGAGCGTGAACGTGTCTGAAGGAGACGGAGGGGAGGAGGGGGCTTGGGTTGGGTTAAAAGTGGCTCAGTTCTGGAGAAGCCACCCTGTGGCTCTGAAGGATGTGGACCTTGTGCTTCTTGATGGGGTGGGGCTGTGGAGTAGGGAGCAGTAGCCCAGGAGGGGACAGGGGAGTAAGCCCCAGCTTCAGACAAGCTAAGGAAGGGCCCCCAGAAACTCCTGCCTGACGCTTAGCTGTCATATCCCAAGCCCCAGAGGGCCCAATACTCATGTGTGTTCTCACTTGCGAATGCATGTGCACCTCTGTGCATGTGTACCAAGTATCAGCCTCTACACCCCTGTGTGTGTGTTCACTTCTGAGTGCATGTGAGAGCATGAGTCTGGTTTTCACCTGTCTGTGTGCATATGTGTGCGTTGGCGTGCAGAACACCTGTGAATGTCTATAGATACGTCTGTGCACACATGCTTTGGTGTGTGTGTCCTCAGGGCACAAGGGTGTTCAAACCCACGTGTATTGGTGTATGTGTGAGGGGAGATTCCCCAAGCTGCTCTAAGCGGGGGAAGGGAAGCCAGTTATAATGAGCCCCTACCTCCCCTCCACTGAGCCGCAGCCATGGCCTGAATTTTGCAGCCTGCTTAAAAATAATTGGGGGCAGCAGGGGGATTGGATGTCACTCACCATCAGCTTCTGGCTTTGCTAGTGCCACAGCAGGCAGGGCGGGCTGAACAGTTAGGGACAGGCATGATGTGGGGTCGGAAAGACCAGGGGTCTGATCTCTTCTTCAGCTCTGAGGAGGAGGGTGGGTGGGTGGGGGAGATATACAGCCTGTCTGGCTTCCACTGAATAACTCTGTGTGGGTCTTGGGAGGAGTGTGGGGTGGCTGGCCTGCAGTGAGTAGGTCTGCATGGAGCTTGCCTGCTCTGCCATCTCTCCCAACCCCTGTATGGCTGGGAGGGGCAGGTGCTTGCTTGGGGCTGGCTTGGAGGTGTAGCACATGGGGATGTGGGACCTGGGGCAGTGGGGAGCTCCATGGATGCTCCATGGGGACTGGAAAGTTGAGGTTCTAAATCCTGTCTCCCCTCTGCCCACTGTTTAGACTCCTGAAGACCCCACAGGAAGTCTATCCCCTGGGAGCAACTGTGTCTTGGGAGAATCTAGCCATACCTATGAATTGTCCTGTGTTTCTGATTCAGTCCCCAGAGCTAATAGCTTGTCCATCTGGCCTGACGCCTGAGCAGCAACCATAGGGAAGGAGCAGAGGCTACCAGTGGAGGGAGGCTACCAGTTTAGTGGAGGGAGACGGGCCTGGGCTGGGCCTCAGATCCTGGGCTTGAGTCCCCTCTGGCCATCTTTGTGTCATCTGGAGCAGGTTGCCTCCCTTTTCCTGTCCCCATCTTTTCTCCTCTAATGTGGACCAGCTGGGCTCTAGGGGCCCATGCAGTGCTGTGAGCTGTCCTGTGGCATGGAGAAGGGAGGCTGTGTGGGTTGCTTGAGGGGTAGGACTGAAAGTGGGGGTGACAAGACCATGTGCTAGCTTCCATGTTTTAGACAGTTGGGTAGAGACTGGGCAGGCTGTGGGCAGTGACACAGCCCTGGCCTGATAGGTGGGAGGGCACCCGCAGCTCTCCGCATCCTCAGCTGTTACCCACTCTGGCCTGACTGCTCTGTGTGTCTGTGTAGGTAGGGCTTGGGTCCTAGGTGCCCACCCCCACCTGGAGCACATTCACACCTGTTGAGGGCTTAGCTTAGTACAGCACTTTAAGGGAAGGTAGATATCAACAAGCTCTGGTCCCCACCCTTAGGCACTGGAAGACCCATGAGCTGACTGAGCTAGCCTTTGGGAAATAGTATAGGAGAGAGGTCACGACTGGCTAGTGTCTTCACTGGGGGTAGCAGGCCCTGAACCAGGCCTTGGAAGATAATCCCATGGGGCTGGAGGGGAAGAGGGAAGTAAGAGGGGAATTCCTGCACCCATTTTACAGATGAGAAAACTGAGGCTCACGAGGGCCACTCAGCCAGTAGGTAGCAGCTGGGTTGGGGCTCAAGCCCAATGTCCCCTTGCTCGGTGCCTCTCCCCCTTGTTCTAACCAGGAAATCTGCAGCAGCGAGACATATGACGTCCACACTGGCAGTTCCCTCCTGTGGGCATGGCTCAGGTTGTGCACAGTTCCTGGCACACTGGCTGTAACTCCACCCCTTTCTTTCCCTCGAAGTAAAGCAAGTGAGTGAGAATGACATTGTTCCAGGAATAACCTCGAATTGCTCTAATTTATAAAAAAGCAAATCGTAGTCAAACATCACCACTTTGACAATTACTGCAGGATTACGCGTGACATGCCTCACAGCTGATCATGACACACTGGGACTGAGAGCAACAGTTCTGGAGAATACAGGTTGGATGGTGGGGCTGGGGCTGGACCTGAATGTCAGTCGAACACACTTGTAGTTGATGGGCTGACTCTGAGGAAGCGGAATGATAGCAACAACTCCTGTTTCCTCCGGGCTCACAAGATTCCAGGCGATCTCCCGAACCCTTTCCCTTACTTATCTCCTTTCACCCTTGTAGGAAACCTGTGAGATAGGTACTATCATCGCTTCATTTTACAGGTAAGGAAACTGAGGCTCAGAGAGGTCAAGTCCCTTGTCTAAGTTCACACAGGTGGAGCTGGGTGACCCTCCATAGACTCTGGTCTTAACCATGAGGCCCCCTCCCGCAGCTCAGCATAGGAGGTTCAGAGCCCAGGCTGTCTGTGGTGGGGGCCCACTGACCACTGTCTCTCTCCACAGGGCAAGGGACATAGGATGACCCCAGCCTGTCCCCTCTTACTGTCTGTGATTCTGTCCCTGCGCCTGGCCGCTGCCTTCGACCCCGCCCCCAGTGCCTGCTCCGCCCTGGCCTCGGGTGTGCTCTACGGGGCGTTCTCGCTGCAGGACCTCTTTCCCACCATCGCCTCGGGCTGCTCCTGGACCCTGGAGAACCCTGACCCCACGAAGTACTCCCTCTACCTGCGCTTCAACCGCCAAGAGCAGGTGTGCACACACTTTGCCCCCCGCCTGCTGCCCTTGGACCACTACCTGGTCAACTTTACCTGCCTGCGGCCTAGCCCGGAGGAGGCAGTGGCCCAGGCGGAGTCTGAGGTGGGGCGGCCGGAGGAGGAGGAGGAGGAGGAGGAGGAGGAGGAGGAGGAGGAGGAGGAGGAGGCGGCGGCAGCAGCGGGGTTGGAGCTGTGCAGTGGCTCGAGCCCCTTTACCTTTCTGCACTTCGACAAGAACTTCGTGCAGCTGTGCCTGTCCGCTGAGCCCTCTGAGGCCCCGCGCCTGCTGGCGCCCGCTGCTCTGGCCTTCCGCTTTGTGGAGGTCTTGCTCATCAACAACAACAACTCCAGCCAGTTCACCTGTGGTGTGCTCTGCCGCTGGAGTGAGGAGTGTGGCCGCGTTGCTGGCAGGGCCTGTGGCTTTGCTCAGCCAAGCTGCAGCTGCCCCGGAGAGGCAGGGGCTGGCTCCGCCACCACCACATCTCCAGGCCCTCCTGCTGCCCACACCCTGTCCAATGCCCTGGTGCCCAGGGGCCCAGCCCCACCTGCTGAGGCTGATTTGCACTCGGGGAGCAGCAATGATCTATTCACAACCGAGATGAGATATGGTGAGTGTGAGCAGGGCCTGGGTGGGATGGGGTCTGCAGGGGCTGACGGTGTCCCTGGTGTCCATCCTGGCGGATCCTCGGCCATTCATGTAGCTGTTCTCTGATATCACCCCTGTGCCAAGCCTTGTCCAACTGTTGCAGTCACCAGACTGCTTGGGAGTGAGAGCTCACTCTTGAAGAGTCTGCAGACTGGCTGGATGAATGGGGGCACAGATCAGATAATGCAGAGTGATATATAAACCCAGGGAGGGACCTCCTAACTGGGCAGCCAGGGGAGGCTCCCTGAAGGAGGTGATGCAGGAACAGAGACCTGAAGGACAAGCAGAACTGGGATGAGGGCATTCTAGGCAGAGGGAGCAGCGCGCACAAAAGCCCAAGGATGGGAGTGATTGTGGCAGGCCCTGGCACTGTGAGTTGACAAGTTTGCCTGGAGGCTGGAATAGGCAGGCAGCAAGGATACATTTCTGTCCACCCAGGTCAGTGAGTTTTGGCAGTTGCCCCAGTGTCAGGGCAGAGAGAAGCAAGGAAGGGTGTGCCTGGGTGAAGAGGCCTGAGCTTCCAGGCTGCCTTGGAGGGCTGGGCTGGCTCAGCTCCCGGTGTCCCCTGTCTCCCCCCTCAGGGCCCATGTCTTCTGGGACTGAGGCCGCCAGCTGCTAGAGCTTCCTGCTGACTGGGCAAAAGCTCTGCGAGCCCCGCTCCCACCCCAGCTCCCTCAAGCACGGCTGCCTTCCGCAGACCCTGCTTCCTGCTGCTTCAAGGCCCTGAGGGCCTCAGCTGGATCCTATGTGCCTGCTGAACAGTGCTGAGCCAGGGACTGAGCAGGAGACCTGGAGGGAACAGGGACCGATGGCATGGAGATGGGAAGGAGGCAGGTCTGGAGTCTGGTCTGCAGCTCTGGTACTGACAGTGAGGCCTCTTCTCTCTCTGGGCCTCAGTTTCCCCATTTGGGATAACAGGTGCTGGCCTACCTCATGGGAATCAAGGATGCAGGGATAGAGGTTAGAAGGGGCATCTGTATTTCACTGGGAGAGTGTGTGTAAGGAGACGGGGTGTCGTGTGAGGGCCGCCTGTCCCCAGCCCTGCTTTGCTGGCTAGAGCCCTGGAGTTGGGCCCTACCTTTGCCTGTTACCTTGATGATCCCTTTATTTTTGGTGGGTGATGGTTTCTTTGTAGAATGGGGAGATATCCCTGAATTAATTAGAGGAGGTTGTTACCGTGAAAGTAGCCTGACCCAGTACTTTGGCCTCCCCAGTGAGACATCTGGCATTGCGCCCATCCACGGCAAGTGCCCAGTGGCCTTGCTGTGGCCTCTCTCCCAGGCTAGCTTGTCCTCTAACGGTGCTCAATGAAGCTGTCCGAGTGACAGCCAGGCCGTGGGCAGGTTTCAGGCCCTGGAGGCTGGCCTGGGATTTAGTGCCTGTAGGAAGAAATTGAATTTCGCTTCTTTGTTGAACATCGGCGGAGAACGCCAAGCGTATATCAGGAGGTTTATGGCTCTTCCTGCATGGCCGACATGGCCCGTCACTCTGTGGGGGTCTCCCCCATCGTGCTCAGCTGCGGGCGGGCACATTTGTCTGGCTTTCCCTGTGGTCTATCGGCCCAGTGATCTGCAGTGGACGGAGCAAGGCTCTGCCCTCATGGGCGGGCACCATCTGGGCAGGCTGCCATGTGGAGCACAGAGCCAGGAGCAGCCAGCTGGGCTTAGTTGAAGCCGGAAGCAGGAGTTGGTTGGTAGCTGGGGTGTCTTTGGGGATCAGAGAGGGCCGGCTATGGGAAGGGCACCATCATCAGAGCCTCTGCAGAGGCCTCTGGGGCTAGAGATGGGTGGAGATTGGATGCCTGATTATTCCTGGGCACGAGGCCAGGTGTTTCTCTGAGTGGGGAGCCCTGAGCTGGGGCTCCCAGCTGTTCCCAAGCCTGACCTCTGCTCTCACCCCTTGTCCTACTTGGCATGTTTCCTTGGGGTTGCTTTTCAGGGAGGGTCCCCATAGGGAGTTGGCATGGGATGATGTGGAGTCAGCTGTCATAAGTGGGCTCACATGGCACACTGGTGCCCAGCACACTGGGACAGCTCCTTCCCCTCCCTTGGTAGGCAAGAAGCTCTTCCATTCTGCTGTCTCCTCCCTCTTGCTCAGCCTTTCTGGTGTGACACACAGTGGGCACACAACTGTTGTTCCACCTGTTGGGGCATGTCTGAGGGTCCGTGGCACTGTCTGTGCTTGGGGGCAGCACCACCCTTGCCAAGGCTTTGGCCCCTTCCATTCCTCCCCTTGTCTCCTCTCCACTGTGCTGCAGGAGAATGGGCTGGCACCTGTAGCTGCCAGGCTGAGAGCAAGATTCATGGGGATGGTGGTGAACAGGAAGGATGAGAGCCTTGTCCTTGTCCTGGCCCTTCTTCCAGGCACCAGGGGCAGGGAAGCTGTATTCACCTTCTCTGGGACACTCCTGAGGAGGATCCACAGCAAGGCCTAGCAGGGTGGGCTTGGGCTGGTATCAGAAGTGCACTAGGCGGGGGGCTGGTGGGCAGTGACTGGGCCGCCTCAGAGCCGAGTGCGTTTGACAAGAGGGTACAGGCGCCTGTTAATTTCACGCAAACTGCCTTTGATAGATCTCTTGTTATTTTTGGTGAGTTGAGCCATAAATTTGTGCCATCTTGCTGCCGCAATCTGTTAAGTGGGGGAAAGGAAGAAAAGAAAGGCAGGCAGGAAGGAGCTTGGTGGAGGACTGGCATGGAGGCTGGCTGAGGCCAGGGCTGGAAGGGGGGCCGTAGAGGTAGTGCCAGTTGCAGAGTTCAGCTCCTGAGGGCTGGCACCAGCCTGCAGTTCCTGCCCACTGACCCTCTAATCCTGAAGAGGCAGTGGGCATGGCTGTGCCCAGTGACACTTGGGAGAAGGAACCCTGCCTAATGCATGCCTCTCTCCTTGGCCACAATCCCTCCCTCCCCTATGGGCACTGGCACTGCTTGCTGCAGGTTCACCCTTCCCATCATCAGGCTCCATCCTTGAGGTATGGCCTCAAGGTGAACATGGGGTCTCCCGGGAGGCAAGAGTGGGCTGAGACCCCCCACCCTGCCACTGCTTCTCTGTGACTTGGGCACGGTGCTGCCCATCTTGGGGCCTTAGAACTCCCAGTTCTCTGTGTGTCACTCCCTGATCTCGACCCCAGCAAATCCCCAGTGCTACCCAAACTCCTCAGCCTGGCGTTCAAGCCCCACCTGGGAACCAGCTACCACCTGCTTTTCAGCCTTCTCTCGAATTCTCCCGTACCTTTTCAACGGAGACTCCTCCCTGGAATGCTCTTTGCCCTTGGTTATCCAGAACTCCTGCATCCTTCTAAGCACCACCTAAGCCCTGTCCCCTCTAGGAAGTTGCCTCTGATTTGCCCAGCCCAGTTCTAAGATTGGCATTTCCCTCCTAGCACTCAGACCCTGTTGCTCTCTTTTGGCCATCCTAGTCTGGCAGCAGGAAGTAGGGGTCTTCCCTGCCTGTTGGGGGCTCAGAGAGTGAGGAGGCAGGGTGGGGGCAGGGAAACCCAGCACACTTGGTGCTGTTTCCTGGCAGGTCCTTCTAGCCCAGATCTGTGCTGGTGGAGCTCTGTGTGCTCTATCATGGGGTGGGAAGTGGGGCCCAGACGTCCCCACACATCCCAGCCAGGACTGAGTTCCAGCCAATCCCTCACACACATCTTCATATCTTTATCAGCGTGGAGTTTGTGCCAGGCCTGGGGCTGGCTCTGAGAGGAGAGGTGAGCTAGGCACACTGTCTGCCTGCTGTTGTGAGAGAGGGCACTCACTAGGACAGTGGTAGTCAAGGCCACAGAGTGAAGTTGCTCAGTCCGGGTTCAGTTCCAGACCTTACCACTGACTTGCTGAGTGACTGTTTATAAGTCCCTTCGCCCCCATTTCATAACCTGTAAAACGGGGGTGGTGACAGCTATTCCACGGGGCTGGGGGGAGCGTTCAGTGAGAGGATGAGGGTAGGTGCTCAGCGCCTGGCACATGGTAGATTCCTAACAAATCGTAGCTGGGTCATCATAATTTAGTGTAAAAGGTACCATTGTGCCAGTGTCAGATGTGAAAGGAGGAAGAGTAAGGGGTTAAGCCAGAGGGCAGGGGTGGTCTAAAGAAGGCGATCTGGAGTTGGGCTTTAAGGAATGAATAGAAATTCACTAGTCTGTGAAATTTCTCTTTCAATTGTATCATTTTTAAAATTTAATATATTAAAAATAAGTTTCATATCCTACATGGAAAGAGTGTCATTTATCTGAAATAGAAGATAACCAAAGAAACAACCACAGTGAAAACAAAGCGCCGTTATTAACTTCTAGCTAGATGCTTTTCCTACTCTCCATTTGTTAGAGAAATTAGCTCACGTTGGGGATATGTTAAAGTCCAGGACTGCACAGCCTTTATCTCTCATGCAGTTGGAAGGATGAAAATGACCGTGTAATTTATCATCGAAACTGTGACATTTCTGAGGTTATGAAGGGGAAGAGGTGGGTACCATCAATTATATCAGGACAACAGGCACAAACCAGACTATCCCACACAAACAGATTGAGAGACCTGGGGAGAGCCTGACTTCCTCAGTCCAGGATCCAGTGTTATTTAATGGTACGTTTGTGAGCTGCCCCAAGTCATCTTCCGACCCATGCTTTGGGGAAGCTATCAGGAGGAAGGGCTTTCGAGGTAGAGGAAACAGCCTGTGCAAGGGCGTGGAGGTGTGAACCACGCTGGGTGTAGGAGCTATAAAGAGACTAGAGCTGCTGGATGGTAGCCCTAGTGGAGGGAGATGGGGCCAGGGTTTTGACTGCCGTCCCAGGACACTGGGGCCTCATCTTCTTGGCCAAGGGCTTTATGGCAGCAAAAACTGGGCATTGTGGGGGAAGCAGCCTGAGTCAGACACGATCTCTGCTCTCGAGGAGCTTCTGGTCACATGGGGGAGGTGGCAGAGACCCAGTTATCTGTGGTGGTGTGGTGGGAGGCTGGGTAGATAGGTAGG